ACCAGTAATCTTTTTAAATCTCTTTTTTTAATTTAAAAAATCATATATATGATATATTTTATTTTTAATTAAAATAAATTTAATAATGATTTTTTTTGAAAAAATAATTATTTTTTTGTAAATATAAGTATTTTTTTTGTTATATTTGTTTAATTTTATAGATATAAATACTTTTTGGTTCAAAAAATATTTAGGAACTTAATCGTTCAAAATATGAATGTTCATTGGGTTTTTTTCGGACTTTTGTCACTATTTTACCACTTTAACTAGTTGTACAAGTCATAAGAATGTATCCAATATGTTTTAGAATAGTCCAAGGAGTTATTTAACATGTTTTGGATTGTTCAAGAACTTATTTGTTCCAAAAATTGTCTAATGAGTTATTTAACATGTTTTAAATTGTCCAATGATTTATTTGTTCTAAAAAATTGTCCAATACGTTATTTAATATGTTTTGGAATGTCCAAGAACTTATTTGTTCCAAAAAAATTATTCAAGGACTTAATCATTCCAAACACTAAAGTTCATTGGGTTTTTTTAGACTTTTTTCTTTTTCTATATTAAAAAAACATTCTCAAACAATCATTTATAATTGACCAAATAAATTATGAGTACCATTAAACTCATTAATAGAACATATTTTTTTAATTTATTTTAGAGAATAATCTATAATTCTATATATACATTAAAGGAGAAACCAAGGTTGATGACTTGGCTTCTCCTAAGGGTTGAAAACTTATTTATCTTTTTTTTCATTCATCCTCCTTCAATCTTTTTTTAATTTCATATTCTAATTTCTATAAACATTGATTATTCATTTATGTTTGCATTTAACACAATCTTTTCATTTTCCCTAACACTTCTTCATAAATTGTTCATCRTTCAATCTCTTTTTCTCCATCTCCAYCAYTTGATTTGTTTTTTCATTTCATTTTTCTCCATCTCCATCACTTGATTTGTTTTTCATTTCATAAATTGTTATTTTTCAACAAATCTATTTTCAAGTTTATTTTGAGAAGACCAATTAAGGTATGCGTTCCTTTTTATTTTTGTTGGGATTTTAGAATTTTGTTTTTTTACTTTTCTCTTCTATGATTTTCTAAGTTTTCTCAATGAAACGGAGAGTTTGTTCTTGACAACACTTTTAGAGTTTTCATGGCAACAATGGTTCGATTAATCGCCTGATGATAGAATCTTGGAAGTATAACAAACCATGATGTAGCCTCAACAAATTTAAACATATTTTTGTAATGATTATCTTTTTCAAGTATACTTTGAGAAAACTAATGTGTGTATGCATTCCTTTTGACTTTTATTGAGATTTTTAAAGTTTTTTTGTTACGATTTTCATGTAGCATCACCAAACTTCAACATGCCATTTTTTAATTCGAGACGATTAATCTGAGTATGCAAATCTTCTTAATTTTGTTAGGATTTTAGAGGTTTTCTTTAACTAATGTCTTCTACATTTTTCTTAAGTTTTTTTTTCCCAATAGAACCAACAATACGTTTTTAGCAATTGTTTTAGAGTTTGGTTGACAACAACTATTTCTCATGGAATCTTGAGAAACCAAGTTTAATGAAAAATCATTTTCATATTCATCTTTTATTTTCTCATTCTTATTTTATTGTTGAAACTTTTTTTTTTCAAATTCTATTTATTTTAAAATATTTTCAACCGCATTAATCGTTAAAAGATTTCATTTTTGTAATTTAAATAATCTATATATATATATTAAAAGAGTAACCAATAATGATAAGGTGGATTCATATATCAAAGGTAACATTGATTCTTATTAGTTTAATATATAAATGTGATCATCGATTCATTTAGCTAACTTCAATAATTTAAAAAAAGATTATTGTCACCATGCAACGCATGGTGTCAAACACTAGTTTTTGTAATGATAAAAAGTCGATAAAAACTCAACAACTTCGCTTAAGTTATTTGACAATACTTTTTTAACAAGTAAATTATCAAAAAATGTAAAACTAAAATACACAATTTGACCTAAAAATGACTTAGGGGTTATTTGTTTATTTTTTAATAATTCTATTAAAAAACAGTCTTTGAGTCGTTGAGAGCTGAATCTTATTTGACAAAAAAAAGTCTGTCTCTTAATGGTTTTAAAATCATCCAAATGATTTTGCATCATGCGCCCCTCTTAACCATTCAACGCTCTAATTTTAGTGTAAACAATTATCAAACAATTATATTTTATTTTGCACTATACCATGAAAGGCTCTTAATTATTTTGACCAATTAATCATTATGCACTAAATAACCTTTTAAGCAACTACCAAACAACCTCTTACTTGGTTTCACCGATAAAAATGCTTTTAATATCAAGACTTTGAAAAATGATAGGCGTTATTAATGCTTTGTTTAATAAAAATAAACTATCCTTAAACTGTTAATTTTTTTCTCCAAAAAGAAAATCTTTATGAGCACGCACATAGGGGCTTGCAAATTGAATTGCAAAACCATTTTTGTCAGACAATTGCTGCACACTTGCTGCCATGTAGGATTCAAATTGCAAATTTTGCAATTCAACTTGAAAGCCACGTGGCACCAACCTCCTCTCCAAAACTATTTAAATAAACTATTTTTAATAATGTTAATATATTTTTAATGTTAATAATTTTAAGAATGTTAATATATTTTTAATAATTTTAATATTTTTAATAATTTTAATAATGTTAATATTTTTAATAATTTTAATATTTTTAATAATTTTAATATTGCAAAAGCTGATGTGGCACAATTGAAAGTGTAAATGGATTGCAGGGATGTGGATGGTCTAACATTTAAGAGATATAAATAATACCTAAATCTTTTCCATTAATAAAAAATATCGATGTGTGAGTTTATTTGTTGCATTTGTTATATATAAATATTATATACTTAAAAAACAAGAAGTATTGAAAAATAATATTTCAAACCACAAGGGTGATACCTGATTGGTTTATGCTTGACTCCAAAGGTCAAAAATGTCTGGAGGTCCCATATTCAAATCCAAGAAGGAACAAAAATCCTCTTGTGCCTACGAAGGTTCAAATGCAATGAATCCGGATTACCTACCAAGTTGGTGGTCGTTCCGGGATTAGTCGACTCGCATAGCGAGTTGGATATCCAAGTTAATAAAAAATAATAATTAAGCGTACTGAATATTATAATGATGTAACTAATATTAAAATCTCTTAAATAAAGTACCTATTATAATTTGATGTAATTTTTTAGAAATAGTGACTTTGTTAAGCTATTTTATATTTTTAAAATATAAAATAGCTGTTAAAAATGCTCTTAATACTTCTAATCTAGCATATTGTTATTTATTTAACAATCTGTTCATGGACTTAATAACTCAAAATCAAAAATTCCATTGGATTTTTTTAACTTTCCCTTTTTATAGTTTATACATATAATAGCATTGAAATTTAATTGTTTTTCCTAAATGTTTCATCTATACTATATTATAAAGTATTTGATAAAAACTCTTAAAAATCATTTTTTGTATATAAAATACCATTTATTGATGTATATTACTTAAAATTCAATATTACAAGTAAATAATGCATAAGTACAACTTATTAAAGTTCTATGCTTGATTCGTGTAACTAACTGCTGATAAACATAATCAAATACTGGATACATATTTTAATTTAAATATAAAAAATCTAAAATGTAATTAAGATGATCACTGTGTTATAATAGAATATTTAATTATTATATTTATAAAATATTAAATTATTAAATTAAAAATAATTTACTTCGTTATTAAACCTAAACTAATTTATAATAAAAAATTTGAATTAAAGAAATTACACAACAAAACAAAAACTTTTAAATAGTTAATTTAATACTAACATCAATATATTTTTTCAAATTTTAAGATATCTTTAAATTTATATTTTATTCAAAAAGAAAAACATTATCGTTTTTCTCAAAACCAATAAAACCGTATTATAACATCGAGAGGGGACATAATAAAACGAAACATTAAAACGAAGATGTATTTTGCTGCATTGCACGAGTACCCTTCTAGTTAAATATAAAGCAAACTACGCTCTTAGGGGCCGTTTACCCAAATGCTTACCCGGTAAGCGCTTACCAATAAAAGTCAACACTATAATAAATGCGTAAGATTTTAGTATATCAAAACATATCGAATGCAACAATTTACTAGGTAAGCGCTTACCTGGGTAAGAGTCGTCATCCTCACTTATCGGGTAAGACTCTCCATCCTTCTCATCGCTCTTACCCGGTAAGATTCTTGGCTCTTCTCATATTCATCCGATGAGGAAATTTATGCGTTAAGCACTTATCAAGTAAGTGTTTAGTAAACGGCCCCTTAGTCTCCTTTGTTTGTTGAAAATTTCTATTTTCATCCTTGTATTTTCAAAATTGCAATTATTATCTTTATAATTTACAATTTATTAATGTTTTCGTCCATATAAATTTTAATTTATTAGTTTCTCATACTTAACGATGAACTACTGATAAAGTTAGACTAACAACGAATCACAAACTATTATTCCGAAAACACAAGAACGTAAGTCAAAATATTCAACAAAACTCGTAAACCAAAACCATAGGTTTACTTTAAAATATAGAGTGGATCACATCGGTGGTCGCTAGGGTTTTAATTTCTAATTTTTCAATTTCATAACACTTAAAATACTTCGAATCAACATTATCATTTAACAATTGTTATAAGTATCAGTGTTTGTGCAAACTAGCAAACTATTATACTTAGACTTGATATCATGTGAGTCGAAAGGTTTTTCGTGACATCTGTAAGACCAATTCTCAACCTTTGGATTAGAATTACAATCTGAACATTCATAATCACAACTTCTCAATAATCACAAAATTATATTCATACAACTTTAAACCATTAAATCGTTATCTTTTTAACTTACGTTCTTGTGCGGGTTTTGCGAGGGCTGACCCAAACCCAAATCAATATTGTATTCAGGGCTTTTGACGACCGGTTCTTGTTTCAAAAACTCTAATCTTGGTTGGATCTTGATTCTCCCGTGCATATGCGTGTAACTATGCAAAAACATGCATAAGAACTAGGGCCAAAAATTTCTGTTGGTGTAACCCCAATACGTTAGTTGACCAAGAACATTATTTGCAATTCTTGGGTGGCCAAGTGAATTTTGGTGTGAACTGTGTGTTCGATGATCCAAATTCATGGGTTGATGCCAATGTTGCACACACGCCGATTCATTTTCTTCGTCACCACTGTTTTCTAACCAAATCCAACCTCAAAATTTGCTTCTTCTTCACAAATTCATCTCCCGCTCTCCAACTCCATGGCTGATCGTGCTGATCCTTCGCCTCTCGTTGCACCTTCTCTCCTCACTCAACCCACCGAGATCGACTTAGAAGCCGGTCCTGGGGAACAAATTCAGTGCCGAATTTGTCTTGAAACTGATGGTACTTCTTGTTTATTTATCTTTATTGCTGATAATTTAGTTCTAGGTTCTGGCTGATTTGTAGTTTCTCCTAATTTATCTTGGTGTTAGTTTGTTGTCTGTGTGCTTTCATGGTTCGAAAGGGAAAGTAATGTGTCAGATTGATGCAATTTTAACACTATTCGGTTTTGTTAGATGGCATTTGCCAATAGGACTAAATTTATCAGGCGATTCCTCTTTTCCGTTTCATTGTTGCTAGTGTTTACTTACAATGGCAACAGTTCTTTTTGGGGGTGCGGTAAATTGAGACTGATTTTGTTGAATAAATCAACATAATACATATTAAAAAGGTTAGAAAGATTCAGCTACTCATAACCTTGAATTCCCATCACTCATGAGTCGCTCTATTAACTCTGCACCCAATTCTTAGGGATGAGTCTTATGTGGGAAATTGTCCAAAGTTGCATAAGTGCTACTTGTGTAATCTCCGGCTAGTTCGGTCAATTTATGAAAAGGTGGCTATAAAGTGAAGAGGGGAGGCCTGATTGGCTATTTTGGTCAATTTTTCGTCTTCTGTTTTAGGGAAGACCCCATAGCTAGCATTCCACACTGCAAAAAGAGATGCTAACTTTTCTAAGGCAGTCTTTAGTAGTACAATGCGATTGACTCGTCCTAAAACTTTAGCGTTCCAGGCTTCCATACTTTGAAAACCACCAAAAGAGGCAACCCGTATACAATAACTAGCATTTACTTTAACAACGCGTCTAAAGATAAAGATAAGCAAATTTGAGTACTTTTTCAATTTGCTCAAGGGTTCTGCAAATAAATAGTTATTTGGAGTACTTGAAAAGTACATTTTTAACTGCATTAGTGCTGGTCAATGAAAGAAGGGTTCCTACCTTATTGTTACTATGATATGTTGCAAGCGTACATAGTTTTCTAGTGGTGATAGATGGTCCAGTTTTAACTTTATTTTTTTACCTAAACTGCTTATGTGATTTTTGGTAATCCTTGGTAATCTTTATTTCCTGCTGTTTTCCATCAGGCAGAGATTTTATTGCACCTTGCAAATGCAGAGGGACATCAAAGTATGTTCATCGGGAGTGCCTTGATCACTGGCGTGCTGTGAGGGTAAACTTTTCATCTTTGGTGTCTTGTTCTGTAAATTTGTGATCGTCAAGGAGAAAGTAATACAAATAACTTAGATTTCTTCTGTTGAGAAAATTGCTCATTCTTGGTTAGCAAATATATTCCGTCGCGCCCCTTTCTTTGAAATTAGTCACTACTTGAGCCACAGAAGATGCTTTTTGACCAATAGCTACATAAACACATATTACATTTTGGCCTTGTTGATTTAAAACTATCTGTTGCTACTGTTGTCTTACCTGTCTGTCTGCCCCCATTAAGTAACTATTTCTCTTTTTTTTTTAAGACAAATCTGTTTCTCTTCTAAATGCCTGCTGTGCTGGCGAACCTCTAGACGTTCTATTCAGACTCGAAGAACTTGGACCGTGACACTAGGTTATGCCATGGTCTTTTATTGATGCTTTGCCTCTAAGAGATTATGGATGGAAAGAACTTGGTAGCTTTGTTTTGCATGTGATATAATTAAGACCAAAATGAGATCATGTTTCTGGAATTGGTTGCTTGAAACTTTTATTGTTTAATCCACATCAACTTGTACTTATTTTGATTAGTTACTTTGGGTCCCTACTAAATGGGAACTAAGAAAGACATTAGCGACAACATTGCATCAAGGGTGGGTTAGGATGCGAGCACTAATAACCACCCTTTCTGGTTGTTTGATTTTTTAATGGTAATTGCTTCTATGCATTTTCGCCTGCCTCTTCACTACTATCGACGTCCTGGTACTTGACCCCACACATGTAGCCAAAACGTTTTCATGCATAACATCTTTGAAAATACCGAACATTTGGGTGAAGAAACTTAATACAACTCTATGTTGAGAACTAACAATTACCAATTAACAAAAAGTAAATTGATTTTTCAACAAACCCATATTAAGAAACAAAATATTCTAATTAATAACCCTAACAATTAATAAGAAACAAAGTCAAACAATAAACACATAAATGACACTCATATTTAAGAAATTTAAAATAAAATAAACAAAAAACATAAAAATAAAATATAGCATTGATCAATTTCTTTCAAGGTAAAAAGTTGGGGACAAGTGGTGTCAAAAGGTTGGGTACAATATGAGAAATTAAGGTTAGAATTTTTTTCCACAATTTTTATTAGGCTCCATTAACTTTTTTATTGGGGGAAACTGCCCCTACCCCTCAGGCTTTGTTGACTTTTTTATTGGGGAAACTTCCCCTACCCCTCAAGGAGTGTTGCATAAAATTCTGAAAGACTTGTTAATTGTCGTTGAAAAACATAACTCATATAATTTTTATATTTTCATTCTTATCATATCATTGTTTTATTCTACGGGTATTACATGGAGTCTTCACTCAATACACAGGATGATCCATGTTACTTGGCGGACTTTTCTCCTTTTATTCCTCATCCTATTTTATATTTTTTGATTCTTTTGTACAAGTTTAGTAGCTACTCAAGGGAAATGTCAGGCCATTTAAAAATCAGTCATAGACATAAATAACTGGGAAGCAATTTGTTTGTATTAGGAGTGGTTTTAACAGATGTAGAATAGAAGGGACCAGAATAAAGTTGGTATGCAGGGAACCAACAAGCTATTCTAGGGTGCAACTAAAAATCTTGCCAGGTCACTACTAGGTAGAATAGTTATTAGCATGTGTTTCATGGTATGGGGTAGCTAGCAGTTTACCCTTGCGTTGTGTAGGTATAACCTTGTATAAGTAACAATAAATTATCTGTTGAATTGTCGATTGTATATATCGAGTTGAAAGCAATTTTTCTCTAACTATGTATTTTGAGAAAAATGGCATGCTGTTTTTACATATAATTCTTTTGATATACATTTATTACATACTTATTTGTTTGTAAGAATGAGCAATTTTGGAGAAAAAGTTCCAACTACAATGGTTTATCTGCATTTACATTTCCACAATGCATCTAAATCGCTCATTCTTACTAGGTGTGTATTGTTTCTTTTGCGTTTTCTCAAGAATGACGGTTTATTTGCAACAAAACCCAAATATGATGGTTGGAAAAGTTAATCACTCGATATATACAACGTAAACGTTAGGAGATCTTAAAAGCTAAGTAGTCTGAAATCTAAATATAGAATAAGATAATCACAATAAACTAGGGGAACTCATTCTTATTCTGTTAACATAAATAGGGGAGTATTGATTGCTGGACTATATCACTTGAAGTAGATGTGAATAGTATAAGCTAATCCTGTTTTCAATATGCCATGCCCTCAGGACATGTTTCCATTTCTTATTTTATTATTCAATCTCCGGAAGTCTCCCCATTTATGTGCATCTTTTGATCTTGTCATACACCACTTGCGTTTGGTTCGCCAGCTTTGTCAAATTGGTTTGCTGATGCACCTGGAAAAGGTTTCTCAATCAGCTTGCAATTAGTGGGGGGTACTAGTGAATTTGTTAAAACTGCTCTCTAGTACGAGCCACCAACAGCTGAGTTTAGTTAGACAGTCGTGCTTTAGCTACACCGTCAAATTTGCTTCTTAGTTGATTGGAATTTTACCCTTGGGTTATCAGATCGTTGTTGGGAGCGTATCATGTGAAAGAATACAGTAAGTCTGCTAAGTAAGAATGCAGTTTAACATGTTTGGTATGTGCCCATTGAATACCATGACTAGTTGCTTTAGGGTCTTTTTTTTAGCAGCTTAATGAGACTCGCAACTTATCCAGTCAGCTATATATGACTCTTTGGTAGAAGCTTAATGATATAGAAAGTGACTTATTCAATAAGCTTCTAGATGGTAGATTATGAAGAAAGCCAAGTTTTTTCCTTAAATGCCCCTCCCAATTAAAAAACACGCTTCTTCCGTCTATGAAAAAACCCTCCCATACAAAAACCTTCCAATCTATACAGACAGATACACAAACAACTTTATCCATACAGGACTTAACGGAAAACCAACCAAACAGCCCCTTAGTCTTTATCCGGTAGTGCTGCTGTACTAGCATAGGCTGTTAATGCAGGATTTGCTTTCTTTTCATTAAGACTTCGGTTGAAATTTAGTTCAATTAGATGTTTGCCATGGTTAACTTGTGGTTCATTTCTGTTTTTCCCAATTTCATGCAGGAAGGTTTTGCATTTGCTCATTGCACGACATGCAAGGCTCCCTATCACTTGAGAGTTCATGTTCTTGCTGATAGGAAGTGGAGAACCATGAAGTTCCGTTTCTTTGTGACCAGGGACATTTTGTTTATCTTTCTCTCTGTACAGCTTGTAGGTGGCGAATTCTCTATTTCTAGATTGTTTGCTCTTATGGAGATTGTGTTAACGAATTATCCAGCCCATTGTTCTTATTCCATCATCTCCTGCTTGTTGTTGCAGGTGATTTCTTTATTGGCATATTTGGTGTATCTAGTTGATGGATATCATAAGTTTTGGCTTCGTCTTGCTTGGGGTTTCGATAGCGTAACCAGCTTCTACTACATATGTGGTAAAACTTTCATAAATTCATATCAAATTTTCTATTAAATGCTCTTTATTTCTCTTAAACAACTTGTAGTTTTTGTTTCGCACTGCGTTCCTTCTCATTGTGTTTAATTCCCCTTTAGTTACTAACCCAATAACAAAAGTTCCATAAGGGGATTGGAGCAGGCTACCATGAGATGTCCTGATGAACCTTGGGAGCATCCCGGCAAGATCTATGGCTCAACGGGATCAGTCGGCTAGAGAGCGGGGTTATTCTTCTTCCGAGGAGACAGAGTAGTCTCTTATACTGACCGAACCCTCAGTTCGGAGGTCTTCGTCAACATGTTACGAATCTCCAGTCTGGCGGTTACTTCCTGCATGATGATGTTCAGTAATGGCCCTATAGTGCTACTGGGGAACAAAGAGAGGAGAATTGGGGAAAAGTATTGAAATTTAACTAGCTTTTTAGATTCTGCATGTGAATGAGCTAGGATTGCACATGCTTTTTTCCTAAGGTGGCCTCACAGTTTTGACACCACGATGATGATTTATCCATTCAATTAAAGAAGATTGTCGAACTCCAAAGTAGACATTCATCAAGTAATTTGCATTTCACTATCAAGAATAACAAAGGAAAGTGATGGATATGCTACGAGTAAGATACTCCCACTAGGCAGCCGTTTACCAATTGCTTACCGGGTGTCGCTTACTTACCGAGTATGGCAAGGTTCAAGAATCTTACCTGGTAAGAGGCAAAGCAAGGACCGGGAATCTTACCTCGTGAGGGAAGAGACTCTTACAATGTAAATGCTTACCGGGTAAAACACGCTTACCAACAATCCATTTTGATGGCCAAGAATGGTACCCGATAAGGTAAGTGAAGGTGATGACTCTTGCCATTAAGGTAAGCGCTTACCTGGTAAGTGTTTGGTAAACGGCCCATAAGTACCTGATTTGCCCCATACTACATGCAAATCTACCATTGGGTACATGCTTAGGAAGTCCTTGGTCCAATAATGGGATTTTTTCTTAAACCTTTTTTCTTCTTTTCAAGTGAAACGTAAAACTTGAAGATTATTTTTTATAAAGACTTGATCTAATTGAATCGTACAAGGGAGGTCATAAGCATGCAAGCAGGATATTAATAACTCATAATTGCTTAAGTTTGCAATCAAGTTTAAAATACATTGATGTCTATTGGCATCCTGAGCAAAGACTAACTAGAGTTTTGTGAGTCCCTTCACTTCTTGATCATTGTTCCTGGTATCAAATAGTATAAGATCTCGAAAAAGATAGACAGTACCAGAGCAGGTCTAGAACAAATAAACAAGTGACGAGAGTCTGAGGTCCAATTACAAGAACTGATTAGAGCTGGGCCACAGTTGGAGCATGAGGTGGAACATAACTGATTAGTTTGAGTACAAGCTGCAGGAGTCTGGATGAAGTCAGGCAGGTGGTACAAAATTTGATAGAACCCCCTGAACTTTCAGAAAATGACATAAATGCCTGTACTTTCTTTGAATGGCAAACTGGTAAGCGCGATCTTTTGATGTTTGCAAAGTAGCTCCTGAAGTTTCTAAGAATTGTGCCATAGACCCCACAGTTTCTGAAACTTGCAGATGAGCCCTGAATATTCTGCAATATGCAAATATTGTTCCTTGACTTTCAGAATTCTCTTGTCAAATCGGGTACAAACATAATAACAGATAAGAAAATATCACCAGTCAGATCCGATTGATCAGATGAAGAGGCAGCAGCGAACAGAACCTCTGAAACTGGGGAGGGTTGATGGATGTTCTTGCAGTTGGCACATGATTTTGGCAAAGGGGTGTCAGTGAGGGACGAGCCATATAACTGCTTCATAGAAAACAAGCTCTAGGTTGGCACCACAATCTATTCAGATGGGAGGGAGTATGATGGCATGACCCAAACGTGTGGTTGCAAATCCCTAGGAACAGTAATAACCTACTCCAAAATATGGTCTTGCCATTACTGATTCAACAGAGAAAAATGCGCTAGAGATAAAATTTATGATCAACGGGAGAGACTGAAGAGCCTCATGTGACTATGCCAGACATGGCTCTACGTGATCTGATGGTCCTTCAAGGTGCGGTGCTGGCAGGAACCTCTATTGTTGATGCTGCAAAAACTGATGATGGTGGCAGTAGTATCTTGTTGTTTACATCAAAGCTTAATGTGGGCCAGGGTTTTGCTTTTTTGAGCCTTAGCTGAGATCACATGCAAACTTGCTTCATATTGATGTTTATTACTGATGGAAAATGGAAAAAACTCTGCATATATATAGGGTATGCATAGTCGGCTCATGAACTGAATATAATTATATAATACATAAGAAGCCTAAATAATCTACAAAACAAAAATCCTAGTACACTGACAAATACCAATAACATATTTTCTTAATGTTGTTTGAGGATGTTTACGTAGTTGAATATCCTGGTCCGATTATCCTGAGGAGGCTTTCAGGGTCTATCATTGAGGTCATTGTATGGCCTCAAGAAAACTCCCCAAGTCTGATTTTAGGAGTTCCCTTGGCATGAGGAAAATTTGGCATTTTGGTTGTTCCTTTTCACTGCTTGGTGATTTCTTTACATCAACATGATAAGCTGGTTGTTACAGTGTTTTAGGTCAATGATTACTGTTATTTACTGGTGATAACCCCGAGATATTTGCAATACTGAAGTTCTTCATCCACTGATAATTTCAGACCATAGATTTGGGTATTCATGGGTATTCTGGTCACTATCTGTAAGGCTATGAAGTACCAAGACTTGACTCAGAGTGTCATATTTGAAATGGGTGCGGCTTGGGTGCAGCGACATACAGACCGGACGTGCAATTTATTGAAGATATAAAACCCATTTGGATACAATATGTGTATTGTGTAGGTTGGATATGGTTGGGTGTCCCATGACTTTTTTTTATGGAGGGTTCAGCCCATTTTCTGTCATTTAACTTTTTGTTTCAAGCTTTCCAATACTTTCAGGTCTAAAAAGTAAACAAAACACTTCACATATACATCTTCGGCACATGGGTATAGAATACACTCCCAATTTCTAAATAGTTATAACATGACCAATATTTTTTCCAGTTCCATCTTTGTTTCCTTATTCATGTATACCTATTTCTCTACATGTTTCTCTTGTATGTTTCCTTAGTTTTTGTTCAATGTCTATTTTATAGGCTTGTTGTTTATATGTTTGTAGGATATAGTCCTAACAAAGGTTGATAAATAAGTACTTGACGGATTCTTTTTTAGTATGGTGGTTAAAATACTTCCAGGATGTTTCCTTTTCAAGTTACTCGAGTATTTTATTTAAAAATTTTATATATGTATACATGTGTGGCCTAGATTCTTGGATTTCTGAAGATGTAGAACTCATGCACCTCATACATTTCACACCTGGTACAAACACCCATTCTTGTGCTTCTTAATATGCGAGATGAAGTCTATCCATTATATTTTAGTTGTGCTTGGATGCTAGAATTGTGTCATCCCTGTGATGATACAATGAATTTAAGCACTATTTAGATGAATGGTCAGGGTACGGGAGCCTAATTGGGAAGCTGAACTCTCTCCCAGTTAACAGGCTTGAAATTGCCTTTTTCCGCGAGTGTGGTTAGTTTGTCTTCCTCTAGTACTAATAATTGGGATTCTAAGCCTCAAATCTTGAGGCATCTCCAGGGTGCAGTGAGTTGCTTCTTTTTCATATACTGATAAGAGGACACACCCCAGTTGAGGTTCCTCTAATGCAAGTCATGCAGATTGTATGTCAAGTTGGAATTGTAAGGTTAAGTATCTAGTCGTCCTTGGGTGAATCTTGTTTTTTGAAATACTAGGAAGCAGGACAATATTTCTCGCCCAAGTTTTGAGTCTGAGTATGAGATCATGTCGCTTACAGTATGTGTTTTGACTTGAGTTGATGCTTTTCGGTGTTTCGAGATTCTCATCTATTTTAGTGGAGGTGCAAACCGTGCAATGCAATTATGAATCAACTGTGCACATTTCCAAGCACCGAATTGCATGAGCAAACCAAACATATCAAAATAGGTTGTCATTTGGTTAGCTAGAAGGTGGTTTATACATCTTGTGAGCTGCCTAGAATCAATGACTCGCATTGATTCCATGTGTAACAAGTTGGGGGCATGTTTGATGGTAAGTTTTGTGGTTGCATTAGATTTGAACTTGATAATTAGGCATCAACTTGAGGGTGTAGATGTCTAGGATATGTGTGTGTGTGTGTGTATATATATATGTTACTGGTGTTCATACCCCAGCTAATAGACCCGCCATGTATTTTGTATATGGTTCCTTCTCTTAGTAATAAGATTATCTTTTTTGTCCCTTTCTCGTTCAGGTTACAATTGATTTACTTCTAATCACATGTTATGGATATTATTCTGCAGGTGCACTATTATTTTTTGCGCTACTTGGCCTATCTGGATGCTTTATAACTTGTTATGATCGGAGAGTCCGTAATGATCTTGCTCAGCCTTGTCGAGAATTGTGTCTTTGTTGTTGTCAACCCGGGTAAACTTCCATTATTAATATTATTGGTCATTGGTTGACGGAAAACAGTTTTTTGTGTTGATAACTTTTCTTTGTAATATTGACTAAACACTCTAGTGAGGGAATTCCTGTGCCACAAGCCAGACAACACAGTTGTCATGCCAGTTAGTTATAATAAATAGGAACAATAAAAAGGAATATAAGCTAATTTAAAAATAAAATAGAAAAAATCTGGCCCGATATGCTTCTACAAGCCTTTAAACAATTATCCAGGATTTATTACAGAAAGAACACAAAGTCAGCTGTCTACATATGCCTAGATACACCAAAATTGCATCCTCCATTCATGCTGCAGGACTCCTAGAAGGAAAGTACAAGCAATGATATTTTTAAAAACACGAAGCAGAAATAAGGAAGTTGAAAGGACTTGAGAATAGACCTAGGGGCTGTTTACCCAAACGCTTACATGGTAAGCGCTTAAGAGTCAATACTCTAACTTACTTTACCGGGTAAGATTTAGTCCATCAAAATGATATCGTATGTAAAATTTATTTGGTAAGCGTTTACCGGATAAGAGTCATCACCCTCACTTACTGGGTAAGACTCTCCATCTTTATCATCGCTCTTACCGGGTAAGATTCTCTGTCCTTGCCATGTTCATCCGATAAGGTAAATGATCTGGTAAGCACTAACCGGATAAGTGTTTAGACAGCCCTTTAATCTGCTTTCCCTTGGTGGTTAGTGGGTTCTTTCTAAGGTTAGGTTAGGCGAAACGAATGGTGGGTGTTCTACCTTGCTGTCTGTGATGGAGACTGTTCCAAATGATCTTCCTGGGATGGTTTCAGTTGGGTGGTATGAACTTGATGTCTTCGCCAACTTTCTCAGGCCACCCAAAGTTTGTCTTCACCATTTGAAACAATGTGTTTGACAAGCTCTCCTGAGACCATTCTAATCTCACATTTTTCTCTTTTCTTCCTTTCTTCTGCTTTTCCACTTCTTTTACATAGGAACAGGGTTTTTAGTTTTGATGGGTTTTTTTTTTTTTATAAATTTGATGAGGTTTGACATATCACTGATTATATTGTAAATTTTGTTGAAAGATCTGGAATTAGAAACTAGAAAAAGGTGTGCAGCATGGCACGTCACGTATAAAATCTGGTCACAGAAGTAAGCAGAAGGGTTAATTGGTGAATGTATGTTGGAATAGTTTGTATGTTGGTCTTTTTGGTAATTAAAGGCAATGTATATATATATATATATATATATATATATACACACACATATATATATATATATATAGGGAAGGGTTCAAAAAAGAATACTTTCATTTTACGAAAATGTGAGAACACCCTTTACTATAGTCCATCACATGTGATACTTTAGTCCATCACATGTGATAATAAATCAGAGACGCGGGCAACCTTTGGTAGTCGCGGGCCAGTCTCCCACCTTCAGGTCCCCTCATGTGTATTGTCACATGTGATAAGGTTCTTCTCGCGTTTTCATAAAATGAATATGTTCTTGTTTGAACCTCCATCTATATATATATATATATATATATATACATATGTATATTAGCATATATGTATAGTAATAGATGGGTAAAGGGAATTCGGTGCTCACTTCCACGAAGCAAGTTAAAGAGGTTGCAATAAGGGGTGCAATTGTCATTTAGGGTATCAAAGGGGTCTGAGGGATGACATTGGATCGAAATGTCTCTCCCTCTCTCACTAACTTCAGTGATGATTCTCGCTTCTGCTAAAATAAGAAATAGATAAACTCCAATTTATGTTGATCTGCATAGCCTAAATTAAGAGCTTTAAAATAGTTTAGTACTTGGTACAAACCCATGAACTTTTATTAGAAGACGAGAGTTCCTCTTTATCTTGTCATAATCTATTGTAATTGTTGCTTTTCAAGCAAGAACTACTGTTATGCTGGTGGCAGTTGTAATTTTTAGATGTAGTAGTATTTTACCTTTTTTGTTTCATGGGCCCATATGATAAATTACATATTTGGTGATTGCTAATTAAGAAAAAAGAAAATAAGTGCTCCAAGGTAATGCGTTCCACCTATTGAGGGGCGACATAGGATCAATTAATAGGCACTAATATTGCAAAAGTTGATGGCTCGAGATGCACCAATGACTATTTGATTCAGAACAAAGCTCTGCCCTGGATGATCATTATTATAATATTATATATATATATATATATATATATAGAGAGAGAGAGAGAGAGGGAGGGAGGTCCAAGGGAAAACCCCCAAAAATATGAAAATTTGAGGAACACCCTGGTAATCATTCATGTGGACACGTACATACAAGTAATTGAAGCCGTTCTTGGTTTTTATGCACGTTTTGCATGTTATGCACATGGGCATACCTCACAAATTGCTTACAAATTACATGTATGCACATGTGCCTACCGTCGAAATGAATGGTTACCAGGGTGTTCCTCAGTTTTTTGCGGTTTTCTCTTGAACCTGACGCTCTATATATGCACACGTGAATATGTATTACCTTTCTTTTACATTTGCCTGGAATCTGGTTGACTAAAACAGCTATCCATACAGCAGTGCCCTTTGTTAGCAAAGTGATTATGTTTTCCTAGAGGTTTAATTATCTTGCTCTGAATGTAACGTATATTCTTCCAGAGATCGGGTTTGAACACATCATTCTTGCAGTGTTTGTGCAGACTGCCATTTACCTGGTACTCTTTGTATGTGGACCGACTGTACAACTTGTTTTGAAAGTTGTGCGAGTGCAGCTGGTGAATGTGGTTGTTTAGGAGGTGCAGGTGAAGCTGGCTTACCGTTAATATTCATAATGGCTTTAGTCGTGCTTGGACTGTTTACTGTCATCGGCATATTCTACAGTGTGCTTGTGGCTACAATGGTTGGACAAAGAATATGGCAGCGACACTATCACATATTAGCAAAAAGAATGCTAACTAAAGTGAGATCCCTTATTTCTTCTGTTACTTTGGTCTTAAATATAACAATGAGTACATAGTTCTGACAATTTTAGTCTTTTCTGAACTTTATTATTATATAACATGACAATTAGAGGGTGAACAGATTGCAGTAGTCAGTATGGTAAGTTTTAAGAACTGAAATCAGAAAAAGGTACAGAGAAATAGGAGGTAAAGAGGGTACTACTAAAAAATGGGCAACATTCTTCACTTGAAGGAACCCACTAAAAAGATACGATAAAAACAATAACAAATCTTAAGCAAGCAAGCCAAACTCGGATGGAATTTAAGATCTGTTCTGCTTAAACAAGATTAGAATAGATGGCCTTTTATAGATAAGGTTGGTAAAATTTCTCCAAGTACAAGGAAAATGAGCATGACTCTTAGGAAGATGAGTTTTGAGCATAAGTTTTGTTGGATACTAGACATTTTTGGCATTCCAGCCGAGATCCTTCATGACTGGCGTTAAGGGCAACCTTCTCACGGTATCTCCGTCCAGCATGAGCAAACCTTTTCGAAACGGAAGTGGTTAGGAATGGGCTCCAAGGTCTGAACATTGTCCCACTTCCCTCATCTGAATTGTGATCATGTGAGAGCAAGTTTCTTGGTGAGAACGATGAGAACACTTATGAGCCTTTGGATGAGTTGTTTTTTTATCTGACGGCTAACAGAAAACGTGACCTTCATGTACTTACATCTGATTATATAACAAAAAAGGTGGATCTTCATCTTCACCTTCACCTTCACCTTCACCTTCACGAACTTTCACATACTTTCAATCATCTTCACATTCATTAATTTGTTAAAGTTTCAGTCATAGTGATACAAGTAGGTAAACGAAGGTTTGTGAATGTGGGTGGATGAAGGTTTGTGTTCTAACCGTTTTCACCAAAAAAATTGTTCTCATGTGACTCCAACCCCCAGTGGTATATGGCTCATTATCTAGTTCCTTCTCAATCAATAGACCCATTATTTGTCATAGCAAGCAGAAAGTTGGGCACATTTGTTTTTGCAACTTTCTGACTAGAACTTACAACTCCAATATCGCATTTAGCTTGTGAGATTCACTATTAGATTGTTTTCTTATGGCTAATTCTCAAACTAGTTGTGGGAGGCTAAAATTTTTACTTTTCTGAAAATACCTTTGCTACACTAGACACTACTATGCCTTTTATTTATGAATTTTAGATTTGGCGATCCAGAAATCACTCTTGGTTTTATGTAATGTGTGTGTGTATATATGACGAAGGATCGTGTGAGAAAAAGAGTTAAAGTGAGAAGCATAAGAAGAGATCTCGACCATTGATCACTTCTAATCTCATTCTCACCCATGAATTGCACTTTAGAAGAGAATCGATCCAGTGCATCTGGGTGCATCATATTAATGTTGGTCTTCAATTAGAATTGATCTAAGGGTGGATATCCCTTCTTACCCTTCTCATTGTGACTTCCCTTCTCACCGGAACCCAACTCTATATATATTATTTGTAATGGTGCGTTTGGTATGCAAATAGGATTGGATGGGCAAGAGTGAGGTAGGTGGGAGAAAGAATTATGAAAGGTTTTAGGTTCTAATAGACATGGGTTATTTAGTAATTTACCATATTGCCCCATTCCCTAATTTTGTTCCGCCTATTTTGGTGGGAAAGAAAAAAAACTGCATTTTGTCTCACTTGGGTCCTGTCTTGTCCCAGTTTAATGTCACGTCAAACATGGACAATAAAGTTTTTGTACTGTCATGTCCCACATACCAAACGTACAGAGCTCTTATGGTGTGTTTTAGCATTTAAGTGAGCCTGACAAACAACTGCTGACCATGACTATGATTTCTTCATCATTTATACTTTAATCCTCTTTACATGTAAACTGGTTATTAGGAATACGTGGTGGAGGATGTTGACGGTGAGATAACTGGATCTGATTGGTCACCGCCACCTCTGCCCCCCGAGCACGTTCAGCAGCTCAAGACGCTTGGCCTCCTATGACTTAACAATAACAGGGTGTGATATGAATATCTTGCCTGCCATTTCTAGCCATCAGACCTTTTATTGATAAACTGGATTAGCATTGCTCAAAAACATGTAATGTGTTCATCTTCTTATTCTCATTTCCTTCCTAAATGTAACGTACAACTCCTGATGCATCACGTACATGTCATTATAGCGTTATTGGGTCGTGATTGATTGTTCGTATAGAGTATAACTATTTCAAATAGAGTTCAATTGTTGTAGTATATCGTGAGAGCCGAGAAGATAAGAAGTGAAGGTTAAAGGAAGGTTCATATGTGAATAGTTGATGAAATTTGGGAAAAAATATATTTGAAGATGAATATATGAACTGACGTTAGAGATTATTTACGTGGGTTCATATATGCATTTTTAAATGGATTTTTTTTTTCAATGATATATATGAGAACAATATTTAGTTTTCTTGTTTGGACCATCATTCATCCATTATTCTCATTTTTGTAGTACTCAAAAGGAAAGGTAAAGTTTTGTCTGATGTAAATTTGAATCGAAGTTGTTCGGTATGGTGTTAAATCAACGTTGAATTATTTAAACTATCGAACTGAATCAATAAATCAAAATTGTTCGGTTTGTTTTGGTTCAGTTCAAAATCATGAAACCGGTTAGGCATAATGCGATTTGTGGTTTTAGTTAAAAGTGAATCATGTATACTTTTTAATTTAACTAGTGTTTGGAAGCGCGCATTACGCGATGACGGTATTTTTTTAAATAAATATTGAAGATAAATGGTTGATGATTAGATCTTAAACTAATATAATTCAATAATATTACACTCAATATGAAATTGATTTATTATATCCTCAGTTGTTTCTTTTGATATATATAGGTTTGTAATTGGTTTAAAATTATAAAAGAAATGTGTGAGACTATTAATTATAATGAGGATTATTTTGTCATAACTCGTAATATATCGAATTATCGATTTGTCTCATACATATATTCCCGTAAAATATTTTGATTCACCATGCAAATACGATGTTCTTACATGGTTTTGTATAACTGTGATGCATTTAGATGATCTACTTACAATTGTTGTAATGTACTTGTTTGCAACTTTGGCCAAAAACTCTCTTTGAAACCCTTGCTTCCAAATCCTACAGTTGCGCAACGAGTAGCGATGGTTGTTTTCAGTATTGTGACCATTGGAGGTGATGAGAGCGACTGTGTTTTTTTTCTGCTCCTCATCTGTATTTTTCTTCTGCTCCGACTGTCACCTGTGTTTGTTTTTTTTCCTGAGTGAAGGTAAAACATCAAAATAAACAGAGAAGACGATGAGTAGATGAGAGCGACTGAGTGAGCGACCAATTAAGGTCACTTCTTCACGCTTGCTGAGTTGATGTCTGAACCAGCGACGTCCGATTAGATCTAGAAAACGTGAGACGGTGAGTCAGTGAGGTGAGGACTGAGGACCGAGTGTGAGGTCGTGAAATTAAAGAGGTTGGATTGGATTTGGGTACTTGGATTGAAAACAAATTAAAGAGGTTGGATTGGATTTGGATTGGATTGGAAACCATTATAGATCTGAAAAACCTCCATTTTTGACATTAGGTCTAAAGGGTATAATGATCATTTCTGATATTCAGACTGTTTATTCAGTACAACAACCGAACAACAATTTATCTGTTAATATACAGACAACCATATCAATACACACAGCTATATCCATATAAATCTTAACAGAAAACGAATCAAACAGCACCAAAGTCTGATCACTTATTCTCAATATTTAATCCTTTGAAATATAAAAGGGAAGCGGTTTTAATCCAAGAAGGACTGTTCCATTATTCTATTCTTAAAACGTGTGCTCTACATTGAATTTATCGCCTCAGCGTTACCAAAAGGAACGTCTGGGTCACCACAATTATAGCCATTTTCAATGGACACTTTTCACAAACAGGTGGTGATCATTACAGGATGCTCCTCCGGCGGCATCGGAAACGCCCTGGCCCGAGCTTTTGCAGCCAGGGACTGCCTAGTTGTCGCCACTGCGCGCACACTTTCTTCCATGGCTGATTTAAGCAATGATCCTGATGTGTTTTTACTTCAGCAACTTGATGTTCTGTCAGATCAGAGCGTTCGAGAAGTTGTCGGTAATGTAATCGATAAGTTTGGGCGTATTGATGTTGTTGTTAATAATGCTGGTGTTCAGTGTATCGGTCCTCTTGCGGAAATGCCTCTTTCTTCGATTGAACAGACGTTCAACACAAACGTTTACGGTATTATCTCGTACTTGTGTTTTATGAGTTCTGTTTGATGTTTTAAGTAATATTAGTGCTATCGTTTATTTCTTCTGTTTTATGAGTTCTGTTTGACGTTCAACACAAACGTTTCGATTGTTCTTAATTTCTTCTGGTTTTTGGTACTCCATTTAGTCAAAGATAGGAGTTCATTACCAAAATTCACGAAAATTGTGAAGGATGTGATGAGATCGAAACAGATTAAGTAGTAGATTTACACTGAATAGAACACCATTCCTGGAAACAATTGCAACTATGTCCCGTTTCACAATAATCACTCCCTCCATCCTAATAAGTGAACCTTTAACTTTTGCGTATCAATTGAGTTATTTTGAGCTCCAGAATCTATAAATGGTTGTTTGGATTGTAAAGAAGGATCCATAACTACATTAACCATGTAAAAGAATTACCAACAGAAAAAATTAGGAGTTAAAAACCTAAAACTGACAATGATTATGAAACTGATGGTATATACAAGTGCTAAAACCATCTGGATAAGAAGAATAGAGAGGTAGGACTAGCAGGGAAATTTTTATTCCAACCACTGTAAGTTAGGCAACCAGGGCTATGATTGCAGACCAGGGACATGGTGTTCCAAGAGTACTAAAGCTCAGAGATTTCGATTCTGTGAAAAGCAATGTTGACCCAGAGGCAAGCAACTAGATCACCGAGCTCCAAGTTGGAATCCTGGCAAAGACCAAGAAGTATCCATTCTTAACACAAAGAAACCGCCGGAGTGGGGGATTGTCTTCTCCTCACTGACCCCAAAGAAGGTGACTCTGCCACTATGCACTATGCAGGCTGGCAGAGAGGGCCCTGAATGCCTAAACAAGACAAGAACCAACTATATGCTTAACAYAAACTTTCTGGTCCTCCCTCTAGCACACAGGGATAGGCCCTACCCACTGGGGAATACGCTTTTGAGCTGATGGAGACTATTCAAGAATTCTAGCTTATACACGGATCTTACTAATAAAGAAAGCACCACGACTGAATTTAAAGTGCAGAATTCCCTCCTGCTGCAGAAATTGCACCAACCAAAAGATTTGACAGTAGCAGTTAGCAGTTAGCACCAAGGAGGTAATTGATCCTAAGAGAATCTAACCTCATCCACGCTCTTAACATGGAGATTTATTGGTCAGCCACAATGCCATTGTTGCAGGGGTTCCCCTTGTTAAGATCCTCGGTTTATAATTTATTTTCTGTTTTACTTCATATTCTTGACCTTTTCATTAACTGTATTTATCTTATGAGGCATTGCCTGCAAACAGCGTCGATCACTATCTTGATTACTTTATATATCTCTTATTTTCTTGGGATGCATGTAGGTTCCATGAGGTTGATTCAAGCAGTTGTTCCTCACATGGCATCAAGGAAGAAGGGAAAGATTGTGAACGTTGGAAGTGTGACTGTTATGGCACCTGGACCATGGTCAGGTGTCTACACTGCATCCAAAGCAGCTATACATGCACTAACTGATACATTAAGGTTTGTTACTTGACCTGTTCTGATATCTTATAGTACCATAACCTTTACTTTTACGCCTTCCACCCCCCACACCCCAAACAACGCAATAAGAAAAGAAACGAATCCAAAGATTCTCCATTGACAGACTTGAGATGTGAACTAAGGCTATTAATTGATCACATTGATAATCAAAATGTAAGATAATGAACCACAAAATAGATACAACTGTCATTGGACTTGGCACCCTTTTATTTGAACTTACATATACTTGGAACAAAGAGATTTATTCATGAGCTGCTTATGCTGTCACAGTTATGTCAATTACATCATTTTTGTTCAATTTTAATGAAATAAACTAAGATGGTCAGTTCAGGACAAGAAGATAAAAGGAGGAATAATTTGACAGAGAGAATTGATATCTCAAACATTATTGATGATTTATGTTAGGTAATCCGATTATAATTTGACAAAAATGATATGATATATATATATGACTACACCGAGAATAAATTTGTTGTTACTATGAGAGTCTCACATTGGCAAGACTTTGACTATTTCTCCTCTCTCTCTCTCTCTATATATATATATATATATGTGTGTGTGTGTGTATGTATATATGTGTGTGTGTGTGTATGTATATATGTGTGTGTGTGTGTATGTATATATGTGTGTGTGTGTGATGAAATCTCCCTTCTCTCCTCGATGGAAATAACTTTTACAGGAAAGAATGTAACAAAATCTCAGATTGTAAAGATGACAACTTACCAACTGGGTGAGGTCATGCCCGCACTAATGCACCGGATCCCATCAGAACTCCGCAGTTAACTTACCAACTTATGAATTTGGCATAGGTTGGAGCTGAAGCCATTGGGAATCGATGTTATTAATGTTGCACCTGGAGCTGTGAGATCAAACATTGGAAATTCGGCTATAGCCAACTACAATAGGATGCCGGACTGGAAATTGTACAAGAAATACGAAGCTGCAATCAAAGAACGAGCGTATTTTTCACAAAGTCAAAAGTCAATGCCGTCGGAAGAATTTGCAAACAAGACAGTAGCTGCCATCCTGAAAGAAGATCCCCCTTCTTGGTTCTCTTTGGGGGGTTACTCCACAATAACAGCCATCATGTACTATTTGCCTATCTTTCTCAAAGATTTCATTTTAAGGAAAGCTATGAAATGTTAGTTTCTGTAACTTGTTCCACCACATGCATCATGCATCATGCATCATGCATCATGCATCATGCATATACATACACATACACATTCTATTCCTGTAACCTGTGTGTTATAAGAGAGTATGATCAATTAATCAGTTATTCAATATCATATAGAATAAAAAATTGAGTAAATTATGATTTTTGTCCCTGAAATAATTTTGATTTTCGTCCTTGTAGGTTTAAAAATTGTGATTTTCGTCCTTATGGTTTGTAATTTATTGCTCTTTTCGTGTCCGGACTAATTCCTACCTTTAAGTACAATGGACCAAAACAAAAGTTGTAAAAAGTTGGGACTAAAAACAACAATAAATTGTAAATCAAAAAGACAAAAATAGCTATAAATTACAAACTATAGGGACTAAAACCGTAATTTCTAAACCATAAAGATGAAAATTGCAAATTTTAATAAATCATAGGGATGAAACTATAATTTTTAAACCACAGGGATAAAAATTGCAATTTTTAATAAGCCACAGGGACGAAAAATGTAATTTACTCAAATTTCACCAGACTCATTACAATAACTTCCATGTGTATGTAACATTTGCAAAATCCCCTAATTGGCAGCAGCCATAATTTGCAAAATCCCCCAAATTGAAGCGCAAATCTTACACAGTTATAAACAAAGAAAGTGAAGTTGGAAACACAATCGTACATGACACTAGGGTTTTGGCCAAGATGATGAGGGCAAAGAGGGTAGAAAAAAATTTAGACCGTTTCTCGATTTGTATATGAGGGGCCATACTAATCTTCTCTGTTATCGTTCCAATTTTATCGGATGTCCCCGAAGGGACAATATTTAATTGCCATGTAAACCAAACATAAGTTTTCCATCTGGTTGGTGTGGAACAAGATGACTTTAAAACCAACTAAACCCACTCTTTATGATTTCATTTCATATATGCTCCCATCAAATCAAACTTCTCGAAAATGAACATATATATAGACTTGGTTTCAACAAGTTCAAATACTCGAAATAAAATTGTTATCAGTTTTGAAGAGTAAATTACAAATTCTGGTTATGTGTTTCATGGGTTATTTTTGTTTTCATGTACAATTTATTTATTACAAAAAGAACCCTTAGGGGGTTGTTTGCTTCACAGAATTCCAACGAAATCTGGAGGAATTGGAATGATCAATTTTGTTGACCAAATTTCATTAAGATGTTTGGTTTACCAATAGAATAGAATTGAATTCCACACATTCCACCATTCATGGATTTGGTCATTTTATCACAATTGACAATAAATTCGATTTCATTCCATCCCATTTTCTCAAAAGACAAAATTATTCTCATCTTCCCTAGTTGATTTAACAGGACCCATATGATCTCCATCTGAACCACTGTCGATCACCATCGATCTGAACCATTAATCTAAGCCACCGTCGACCACCACCGTTGACCACAATCAATCTGAACCATTGATATGAGTCATCACCGATCTGAACCACCATTCTGAGCCACCACCGACTACCACTGTTATAAAAAGGGTATTTTGGTCATTTATCGTTTATTTATTCCAATTTCGAAACTATTTTTTACCAACCAAACAGACAGATTCCAAATCATTTAATATATCCCAGGGAGATCCAGGGTATTGTGAGAAACCTTGCGCCAAAGAAGAGTCCTATACATTGTGACTTAATTATTCTCATTACGCTTTTTGGCAAATGATTTATCTATATGCTACAAGTTTTACACTTGGTGGGTTAGCATTACGAGACCAAATACCTGATCATTTATCGAATAATATAATTCTCTTAGATTGCTTCTTTTCATTTAGGCCAATTTGCTCTTTGTTGACATTTTTCGACTGAGCATGGTTCGATGTCATTGTGATATATCATTTCATGAACAACAACATATGTAAATATATCATCAATAAATTTGTATAACTGTCGATCGACTCATATGCACTCATAATTTATTTGAGAATTCTTTGATCTTTGAAATCAATATTAACTTAGGAACGTCCTCAAGATTTATGTATTGATAATAAATGGTTGTACCTTACTCTTCTCCTCCTTTAAATGAATATCTATCAAACCAAGTAGCTTCCCCCATTTTCTTTCGGGAGCTACAGCCTCAACCACACCTCCACCATATGTGATTGCAACACACTTTCTAGCAACATTATGCCTTTTTTTGTCTTTTACTCAAGAAAAAACCACAAGACCAAATTCCTTAAATCATTTTTGATTGAATACGAGACAAAAATTTGATAAAATGACAAAAATGTCTTTTATTTAAACGAATTTTTAATGCATGTTAAAGGTAGAACAAAATCTGGATGTTTTTGTAAACCATAATAGCCATTTTATAGTTGTTTGTTAACCTCTTAATAGTTTCATTAAGAGGCAACCTCTGAATCGTTAAGAGAGGTGAATCTTGTTTGGCACAAAAAAAAAGTTTGTTTCTTAATGGTTCTAAAACCCTCTGAATGATTTTGCATCATGGATCTCTCTTAACCATTAAGAGCCCTAATTTCATTGTACACAATTACCAAACAATTATATTTCATTTTGCACTATAGCATTAGAGTCTCTTAATCATTCTACACCAAACCATTCAGCAATTGCCAAATAAACCCTTACTCTTTACGGTATAAACCAAACTAAACATACCAATACAGCTCATGTGAACGTATGGTACGAAGAAATAAGACGTACGAAAATCATTTCTCTACCCCAAAGGGCATATAAACTATTTCATAAAGAATTCAGTAAAATATTGAGGGTCAATCAGCACTTGCAGATCAAGACTTCAAACCAACCTAACAACATTACCAACTGTTCTATTCATATATGTGAAAGGGTTCTAACATAAGAGCCAAGAAAAAGCTATATATCAATATTCTGGTAATTTATGAGACGATTACGACAAGTAACACATTACTCGCTTTCGATATCGCTTTCGTCCAAAGTAATATGGTTTAAATTCCGTTCAAGCGGTGGAAGACCATCATCTGATCCTTCATCTTCACTACGGCATGCATCGCCTTCCCCTTTAAAAACAAAAGACTAAAAGTCACCATCCACGAGAAAGCCATGAAGATAGCAGGGAAAAGTGTGTGCAAGCGTGCATCCATTTAGGGTGACACTGAACCAGAAATGATATGGTTTCCCCTTCCTCGGTCTACTATTTGTCTCGTGAACATTACAAAGTTTGACTCGACACCTAGTTTAAGAATACTGTTTGGTTTGGTTTATCATGAAGGTTGCAAATTTAAATGGACATCTTCTTGAAGTGTTAGGGTGCATTTCTTTTTAACACATTAAAACAAGAAAATTGACCACACAGGCTTGTAGGGAATACATTTCTTTTCCCTGTGATGAATATAAATTTGGAAAGGACTTGTTTTGTACTCCCTCCGTCCCAAAATATATGTCCCAGATGAAAAAGGCGCACGGTATCAGAAATGTGTAACTACTACGCTTTTTTTTAATTGATAAATGACAATTTTATCCTTAAAAATAGAGAGAGTAATGAATTTCTCCATCTCATAACCAAGGATAGGACGAAAAAAGTAGACAATTACTTTTGAAAGTGGACAATTAAGACAAACTAAAATAGAAATGCAGGCACTTATTTCGGAACGAAGGGAGTATTTCCTTTGTTGAATGTTGCCTTCTCTTAAAAAGTTAAAAAAGAAGTTGACCAAATATGGAAAATACCTTCTTCCTTAGCCAAAACCTTGGGAACTTTTGAACTTTGCTCAGATAGCCAAGAATTTTGAAATGCAATAACCTCAGCGCTGTTCTCACATTTGGAATATGCCTTTAGAAGCTCCCTGCATTGCACAACTTCATCAACGATGAGGTAATGGCAAATACTGCCTTAAATTAGATGCATTCACTCAACTCCCACATCTTTTCAAAAGTAAGTGTCGATTTTAGGGTTTAGGGTTTAGACTTTTAACACCTTACCTCACTTGAACACTTTAAACTCTCTATCTGTGGGAGTTCTTGTCTTTGTACTCAGACAGTCAAGTTATCATTATCTTTATGCTACTAATGGGAAATCAGTAGTTACTTAATTGGCACACGATCAGGGCCTGGGGGGTGAGGAATCATTTTACAGGGCCTAAATCAGACAATACACTAACAACCTAAAACTCGCCATTGATTGCTTACAACTAGCCAACCAATGGGATCAAGACTTGGTATATATAGTGATCGACTTTTGTAACCGTCGTGCTTGGAACTAGCTTTTAAAACAACCATTATACTTGCAAAAATTCCCCAAAGAATATTGCACTTGAAAATATTGATGCCCGGGTTATTCCATCAACTCAACTTAACGATGTGACATTTTAAGAAACAAGAGATTGACTTTAATAGCCTCGTAGTTGGCACTCTGTTCAAATTAACCATTATGCTAGTAAAAAAAACCAAAAGAACATGGTATGGGTTTTTTCAAATCAATGATCTCCCTGCACTTACCATTACTATGATAACACATAATTTATTATGTTCGAGTATAGCAAAGAAATCACCCATTTTTTCTTGAACATTCATACATGTTTAATAAAATTATTTGAGAACGCTAAAATATATAAGGTATCTTTAATGAAAATAAAAAAAGACGATTTGTTTACCAAATAAATACAAACTATTATCTTTAATAATGACCACCTTGTAAATATTTATTTGAATCCAAATTTTTTCTACAAGATCATGCTAATATGAGATGTTCAGTTGCGTTTTGATTAGATTGGAACAAGTTCAAGCACCATCTTTTGACCTAAAAAGTAAGCATTAAAAAATAAATCAGCACTAAAAGTTACAACAGAAAAAAAAAATTTGGGAAAAAAATATTCAAATACGGTGTTTTTTAGGATTTTGCAAGTAAAATGGTTATTTTGTAACCAAGGGTCATGCACAACAATCACAGAAGTGAATCACTGGTCATATCAGCACGCTGAGTTAAATGAAGTCAACTTAGGTCAATAGTTGTACAAACAACTTCATTATTTTCCAAGTACAAAGTTTGTTAGACCTTTTGAGAGTATAATGATTTTTCTCAAAGCAAGTACAATATTATAGAACTCAATCACTCAGGATAATATTAGAGAGATAGAGACGCGAATTATATCTTTCGACTAAGCTAATGAAATCAATAAACGTAAAATGTAGCATTGATAATTTAATAATTTAGGTACAGAAGATACCTGTTGAGGGACAAGAAAGCATGGCCCCACTTGAACTTGCTTAGCAACAACTCACCATTTTCTACCTCGCCACTGATGGGAACATGTAGACATGCATTAGAAAACATGAATTTTTGTAATAAGAATATGTTAATAGGCACTTGCGGATTCATAAAATCAGGCGATTATAACAGACTGTTCATAACAAAGAACTGACAATTACTGTAGCATGATATGCAAACTGTCCACCCGGGAGGACAATGATTGTTTATGTAGTCTGCTGTATTTTTTTTAGAACTATTATCCACTATGGTCACTTAGGGGCTGTTTGGTTGGTTTACCGTAAGTCCTGTATGGATAAAGTTGTCTATATGGATCAATCTGTCTTATATAGAATGGGCAGGTTTTTGTCCGGAAGGGTTTTTTCATAGATGGAAGGAGCGTGGTTTTTAATTGGGAGTGACGGGTTAAGGAAAAAGCTGTCTTTCTGCATAAAGCTCCCCCCTAGAAGCTTACTGAATAAGCCACTTTCTATTTCATTAAGCCACTACCAAAGAGTCATGTATAGCTGACCAAATAAGCTGTGAGTTCCATTAAGCTCGTTAAGCTGCTAACAAACAAACCCTTAACATAGCTGCTAAGTTGGGCCCTTTCATGTTATTTTTGAAGTAAACATCCCTCTATGCAAAAAGGAAGTAAATACTTCTCCAAGTTTGTCTTCTGAATCAGTGGCGGAACCAGAACGTATGTGTGGTTTCACTCCAATAAATTAAAAACGAATCGATCAAAATAAAATAAAATTATATTTTAGTACATATGAACAAATAAAACAACAAAAAAGGTGGATGATTATTGCACAAGTTTTTTACTCATCTAATATACATGTTGTAAATCTATCACGTGCAGCATCTAAATCATTATTATGGACATTATATTGTCCCACTAAAATAACCTCAAATGACACAAGCGAATATCGTAGACCATGTTGTGAACATAAGAAATTTTCCATCCAAACAAACAAAACATAGCATAGACATTTGCTTGACATGCTTTGTTCCGTTTAACATTCAAAACTAATGGTGTGTTTGGTTTTTAGGATTTGGAATGGAATTGAATTCCATTCTTTATAAATAATTATAAAAATAGTTAAATTACCTTTTTATTAATTGATTATTACAAAGCAAGTGTTTTTAACATACTTTAAAACATTATTAAAAACAAATCCTATAAAATCCCACAAAATACCAACTACCTCCGTCGATTTCTAAATCCCATGTTTGTGGGATTTCATTGATTTCAAATCCAAGCAGTCCTTCAAACCAAACACAGGATTTGAATGAAATCCAATTCCAATCCTATCAAATCCAAGCAGTCCTTCAAACCAAACACAGGATTTGAATGAAATCCAATTCCAATCCTATCAAATCCCACACGCTAAACAGGACCTAAGAGTGTTTTTTTTTTTTTAATTTCAACCCTCTTTTGGCATTAAAACCTTCTTAACCCATAATTCATTTGTTGATTTTCTCTCTCCAATACTCTTACTATCTTGAAAGTTGAAGTATTTTTAGTTATTAAAATTTTGAGTGTGGAATTCTAGGTTTGTGGATAAAGAAACTTTCAAGTGGTTTATGTATCCTAGGTTTAGGAGATGAAGAAAATGGTTACTGGTTTGAAGTTTCTCAATTCGTGGATAAAGAATATTTTGAGGGGTTGGTTATTTAATTCTCCTTTAAACATTCTCAGGGCAAAGGGTGGCGGATTCTGGGAACTGGGTGCCTAGGTGGGATTCTGCATTTGGAGATAAAGAAAAACTTTGGGATGGAAACCTAGGTAATAATAAAATAACGAGTTAGATTTAGATGTACAGTTTTGTTATGTATGTTGAGGTTTAAATCTAATATTTATTATTTATATCGAGTTTTGATTAATGTTTATTGGGAAAATTGCACCAACTTTCACCTAATTCATATTTTGGGGAACCAACTTTTAAAATCGTCATTTTGGGGAACCAACTTTTAAAATCGTCATTTTGGGGAACCAACTTGCACCTGATTCCTATTTTGAGAAACCAACTTGCAAAATAATTATAAAAAAATAACTAAAATTTGTTTTTTTCCAAAAATTAATGCAATAAAATCTATTTTTCATTTCAAATCTCGTTTTTTTAATTCATATATATCAAATTGAACATTTTTAAAAAAAAATCCAAATTACCATAAAAATTGTTTTTTACTAATGCAAAAAAAACAATTTCATAGAAAAAAAAATTAATTGATGCAATAAAAAATTAATAGATGCAATTTAATAGGCATCAGGTGAAAGTTGGTTTCATTTTGGTGCAATTTTTCCTAATATTTATTTTTTATTGCATCAATTAAATTTTTTTTTCTATTAAATTGATTTTTTTTGCATTAGTAAAAAACAATTTTTATTGTGGTAATTTGGATTTTTTTTTAAATGTTCAATTTGATATCTGAATTAAAAAAAACGAGATTTGAAATGAAAAATAGATTTTATTGCATTAATTTTTGGGAAAAAAACAAATTTTAGTTATTTTTCTATAATTATTTTGCAAGTTAGTTCCTCAAAATAGGAATCAGGTGCAAGTTGGTTCCCCAAAATGACGATTTTGAAAGTTGGTTCCCCAAAATAGGAATCAGGTGCAAGTTGGTTCCCCAAAATGGCGATTTTGAAAGTTGGTTTCCAAAATAGGAATTAGGTGAAAGTTGGTTCCATTTTGGTACAATTTTCCCATGTTTATTTTGTATAAAATTTTACCCAAAAAAATAAAGATTTGAATAAAGATATGAAGGGTGTAAGATAGGGACACTCGTACCATAGATTGCAGAACTTTCGAGATGCTTCCTAACAAAAGCCAAAGGATTCGTTCCTTCTAACTCATTCACTTCAAATTTCACCCTTCACCAACTTGACACTTAAGCTTTAGTATGGGCATGTGAAGAGTCTATTTTCTGAAGAGATTTTAGATTTTAGACTATGAGTGTAAAAAAGGTCAATAACTGCAGGTTGAGAATTAGTTTAGGGGCACTTTCTATGATTTACTCTTAAAAAGGTTCACTTGGAGAAAAATCAGGTTAGTAATAATGAAGCAGAAAACCTTCGCTAGGACCTGAGTTCCTCCAAATGTACAACACACTCCTCAATCAAACAAGCTACAGCTGCATGTGTGTTCTTTTTGTAGGTTCACGCTTCTTAAAGACGTGCTTCGTCAAAGTAGTTTCCAAAATTACCTCTATTTATCATAACAATCCATAAAAATTGCATGGTCTCCAGCAACACCATGGCACCAAGCACCATGCTAGTTCCACCTTCCACCTAGAGATGCACAAAGAACCCAGACCAGGCCAGGCCCAGAAAAGCCCAGGCATAGTGATGGGGGCAAGCCCGGTCCGAAAAAGCCTGTCCTGGAAAAGCCTTAAGAAGCTCGGTTAAGCCTGAAAAAGCCCGATCGGGCCCCCTTTTCAACCCCAAAGCCCGGCCCGGGATTTTTTTCTTTACTCATCGAAAACGGGCTTGGAAGGCCCAGGCCATGTGCATCTCTAGTTCCATCCCTGCTGGGAATCATGAATCTTTTATCTACCTATAAGATATTACTACTTGAGCTCATGCCTAATCAAGATAATGGGCATCATACAAACTTACAAAGGGATTGGAGGTAGTTACCATATAATTAAACCAGCAGATAACGCCTCAACACAAGATAGCTCGCAGGGTCGACCATAATTTACTGGATTAGCAGCTACCAACCATGGTACTGCATTGCAACGAAGCTATCAATTTAGAAGAAAGATAGCAACAATACTGAGTTTAATATCTTGAAAAATCATCTTAGACTTAAAAAGTAATACTCATATACTTCATAAAATAAGCATGTACCAATTTTAGCGTATAAAATTTTCAACTGTATCTTCATATATTTGTAACATGCCCTTATTGATGTAGTTAATTTTACTTAAATTAAGAGCAGGATGGATTTTACATTTAATGTGATAGACTCATTTTTACTCATCAAAAATTAGCCAAAAATACTTTTCTGCCTAGCACCTCATCGTGGCCGATGGATCTCACAGCACTCGCGTTGACCCCAAAACTTGTGCCTCAACAGGCCTCACACCTTTCAAAACAACAGACAAGGGTCTCTGGTCCATACCATGCATTTTCTCCAGGGCTGAGCTCTTACGTATCCGAGGTGCGATCAGATTAACCAGCGACCGGTTTACAGAACAAGAATTTAAGCAAGGGACAGGAGAGTGATGAAAGAAACCGCTAAAGTCAGTGTTGTGCTCAACTCTGTGGTTGGAAGGATTGCTTTCTGCTGGCACAAATGGTGTTATCTTCCTTCACTTCCAAAGCATTCATTAGTCAGGAAAGCAATGGCTGTCCTGGCATTAACTCTGTCTAAAAAATATTATGTTCCCACAATACATGCCTTATTTAACAATTAACATTAAGATCTGAAATAGTGTTGTTATAGTTCAATTACATGCAATCCTCCTTCATACGCTTTCTTCCATATAAGCACACATAAACGCTGATTCTTTCTTCAAAACCAAAGTTATATCACCTATATCACATAACTGCTTACACTTAGAAGCACTCATAATGAACTAAATCCAGACAAAAACCTACTAGAGTGACAACTCAGCAGCTCTTCAGATCCTTATTCCTCCTTAACGCTGTGTTCTCGAATTTGGGGAGAAGAGAAAAGAAATGAAATGGAAGGAAAAGATTTTTTTTATTCGTGTTCTCGAAAGAGAAGGAAAAGAAGGATAGGAAAAGAAAGAAAATATTTTTCATGTTCTTAAACAGGAGAGAAAGGAAAGAAAAGATGCCATTTTTACTAATATACCCTTTAAAAATACATACTTTAGAATAAAAGATTGAGTAGTTTTGTAATTTTAATGATTTTTTAAGGGTTTTCTTTCCTTTCAATCCCTTTCCTCCATATTTGGGAGGAAAGTTTTGGGAGGAAACTTATCATTCTTTCCCTTACCTTTCCTTCCCCTCCTAAAAGAGTTTCAAGAATGCGAGTTTTTTTTTACTTTCCTCCCGTTTCCTTTCCTTTTCTTCGTAAAAAAGGTTTCGAAAACACAGGGTAAGAGATGTTTCCCTGGCTAGGATTACACCAAAGACTTCTCTGTGAATTTTGTTCTTCCCTTTTTTTGCTAATATGATTAATGCATATTATCACCAGAAAAATCCTGAATAGCCGGTTCTGCTTGTATTCTATGGTTTACCAAGTGCAAGTCCAATGCAGCTTTTGTTGTAATGGTAGTAGTGAGTGACCTCCTTTTCTTATGTTAATGTTAATTGTAGAAATATGATATGCAGGTAACATGTGGAGTAACTGCATCTACTTGTGAGATTGTGTGAAGTTCTTACATAGACGGGGAGCAGCACATCGTAGCTTTGTAAAAGGTACATCGTCCAACCGTGCCCAAGAACAATCTACAACCGCCAAACCTTTTCTTTTTATCAGGTCTGAATCTTCCCTTGAGATGCACTGTTGTCCAACAGGGCTGTAACAAGAAAAATTCATCAAAACAAACCAATAAAGCACCTAAAATAGCACACATGAAAAACTAGATTTAATTGTTTGTCATGATTGAAACATACAATTTTTAAAGGTTGTGTTTCAGTTGTAGTAAAGATGTTTAAATTACCAATGGGCCTTTGGCCTAGTGGTATGTGGGTCTTTGGCTTCCTAGGAAGTCAGGTGTTCAAACCTCACCAAAGGTGAGGAGTGTGAGTTTATTTGTTCTATTTGCCGTATATAAATATTATATACTTCAAAAAGAAAGACGTTTAAATTAGGATATGTCGAGTCACATAAACAAACTCTTTAAAAAGCGAGGAAAAGATTTCATGCAAGACTTTCCCTACATACCCTTGCTTAGATTAATAAGAGCACCAATCATATCAGAAAAATCAGAGAGAGAAAAATCAGTTACCTTAAAGCAATGCCTCCGAAACCATTTCCTACTCGCAGCTCCTGCATAAAATTGTTCAACATCATACGGAAGTAATATAGGTACTATAACAGGTGTAGAAGGCATATAATATTAGGCATCCTCACATTAAAGATCCATACAACCATGAACATAGTCAAATCTTTTTTTGGAGAAATTAGGTGAATAAATCGAAGTATCCTGCTGCAACACTTACTTTCAAAAACCCAAATCTAGCTAGTTTGCGCCCTGTACACCTTTTAACATCACACTGCCCAAAATCCTGAAACAACAACACAACTCAGTCATGAGATGCATAACTTCGCACTCTTAGGGGAGCATCCAAAAATGTCAAGGACCTTGGCTAACCTACAAACATTACATAATCTGTGTGCAGAAAGAAATTTGTAAAACACAAATAGTACAGTTCTTTTAAATGATTGTGTAAAAAGTATATATTAAGAGAATGAACTTCAATGGTCTATACTCTACAGGATAAAAGAAAAAAAAGCTAAGTCTGTTCTAATTTGATGATATGGTTCATATGAAGATAAAATGTGAAAATGCAACTCTATGTCTACAAAATAGTAGGCTACGGTAGAGGCATGTCTAGAAATTACAGTGCGCTTTCTGAAAGATGTCACAATGACAGTTGATGAGTGTGAGAAGAATTCAAATATAATGTGAATAGGAATCCATTTTCTAAAAGATCCTGGCTTTCGTGCTTTGGTGGGTCTCCGAGATCCTTTCGATGACCTATGTTGTGTTAGAGGGATATCTATATAATCCGATCGATTGCGTAAAGCCTGCGGTAGCAGCGGAACCGGGAAAAGTATACAGAAAAGACAGTTCTTTTCCATTATATTAGTATTTTCTATTTAATTCATATTAGATTAGTTTTAGTTAGTGATCCCGGCTTAGTGAGCCCTTTCTTCCGTGATGAACTGTTGGCGCCAGTCCTACATTTTGTCTATGTGGACCGAGGAGAAAGGGGGCTCGGCGGGAAGAGGATTGTACCGTGAGAGAAGCAAGGAGGTCAACCTTTTTCAAATATACAACATGGATTATGGCAATGCAATGTAGTGGGACTCGCATGTCGATCCGAATGAATCATCCTTTCCACGGAGGCAAATCTTTGYCTGTTAGGTWAGAGGATAGCAAGTTACAAATTCTGTCTCGGTAGGACATGTACCTCTATTACTATGAATTTCATAAATGAAGTAGTTAATGGTGGGGTTACCATTATCCTTTTTGTAGTAACGAATCTTGTATGTATTCCTCATAAAAGGAATTTGTTCATTTTTCAGGGTCTCAAAGGAGCATGGAAACACATAAGAACCGAAATTGAGGGCATAGTCTGGTACTCATTCGCATATAACTTAAGCCCCTAAAAGTGATCTGGCTTTTGACTATATCTTGAGTAGTTGAGTTGCATCAAGTAAGCTCAATTTGGAAAATTCTTTTCAGGTTTGGCTCATTTTAAAGCTCGATAGCCGGTATCAAAAATTGTTATTTATAAATACACTTCAAGAGGCAACAGTTTATAAAACATGCAAGTTAAATTTCACACTCTCTTTATGAAAGGGAAAGAGGAGTTGCCCTTTAACTTCTTATATCAAACCTAGTCCCAACTCCCAAGTGCGCTATTGACATGAACTGTTGTTAAAGAGTTTCCACCAAAGTTAACATACACATAGTACTTGTTATGAAGTTTGATGCAGTCATCAATCTTCTTCGTAGACTAAGGGGTGTTTGCTAAATGCTTACCAATTCAATTACCTTACCGGGTGTGAACATAACAAGGACCGATAATCTTACCCGGTAAGAGGGAATACAAGGATCATGAGTCTTACCCGGTGAGGGAGGGTTATGACTCTTACTCGGTAAGCGCTTACCGGAATATAAACGCTTGCAATCATCCATTTTGAAGGCCGGGAAATGTTACCTCAATAAGGTAAGTGAGAGTGGTGATTCTTGTCGGTAAGATTTTGGTAAATGGTCCCCAACTTCTATATCAGTTTTCAACTTCAAAAAAATCTCTTTCACACGTAAACTTAAGGTTTAGGGTTTTAGAAAGAGGAAGGATTCCTGAATCTTGCAACAATCACGAAACCAAACATTGATTCTCAAAGATAAAACTTATAACTAAAGTAGTACCACTTCCAATTAGATACATGAACATACCCACATGGCTAGCTGAATGTTGGGTACCACTGTTGACTCTTCTTCAGATTCTGCAACATTAAGAAACAAGCATCGAACGCTATAAACACAAAACTACTAAATTCTATGAACACTAACATTCAAAATCGTGTCAATAAAGGATTCCAAGCGCAAAAAAGTATACCTGGATCAACAGGAAGAGATTCATCTTCACTGAACAAAATGTAAAAATTAAAACCAAATCAAAATCAAACGAACCTTTGTGAGCCACAGTTGAAATACATAAAATTTGTAATCAATCTGGAGTGAAATTACCGGTTTGGTTGATGTGTTCGACTAGATTGACCTTGTGTATGATGATTCTTGAACTTTCTAGACTTGTTGTGACCCATTTGGATTTCAACCGATAGGCTGTTGTGGAAACTGCCGCTTCTCTTCTTAGGTCGCTGCCTTCTTGATACCGAGAATATGATGCTCGCCAAAAAGAACACACAGGGAAAACAGGGTTTAATTGAGGACTTATGGGAAAGAAAATAGATCATGATACGATGATGAATATTCTTTAATTTATCTTTAATTTAAAATTTACTAAATATAAATTTATTTATTGTTTTTCTATTAATGACTTGTTTAATACAATTTTTTATCAACCGTCTTCTTTAGTTTCTAATATAAAAATATCATGTAAGAGACAAATCAGATACACAATAATCTATTAAATAATTATTTTAATAGTTTAATGCCCATAACGATCCCAATCCCCGAATAGATTGTAACTCACACATTACAATTACATATGTATCATCGTCTTTGATTCACAACCTTTGTTGACGAAGATGAAATTAAATTAAAACAAGTTTTGTGTTATTTCAACATAGATTCTACGTCTTGAAACCAAACCAGTTTTGGAGCAACTTTATGATAATGAAACCAACCACCTAAAAGCATTAACACTGTAAAGATCAACTCACCAGTTGCAAATATAAGAGAGTTGTATTGTTAGTTATTTCATATACTCGTCAAAACTGAAAACCCCATATGTTATTTGTATTCTTCATACCCTCTCGGGCGCCTTCATCACCATCCAGTACTTCTTGGCATGTCGAATTTCTTTAACAACCAACCAAGCCACATGTCTTGAATCACAGGAAAAAAAATGCATTGTATTTGTACTATTGGCTACTGAAATAATTGAATCACAATAATTATAGTCAAAAGTTGGAAACTATAGATCAGAGTCAAGTCACAATAAATCAAGAACACAAGATGACAAGAAGAATTGAATTTGTCAGATGTCTCTTGATTACATTCAATTATCTCTGAATACAATACGATCTCAATGTATTCAACTCTTACAAACCTTACAAAATCTACTGTAAAAATCAATTAAAGCACAGGGACTTGAATACAATTTGTGATTCTAACAGTAACTAATACAAAAGAGCCAATACACATAATTTAATTTAATTCGAATGCATCACAAAGTATAATAAACCCTTTTAAAACAAGTTTGAAACAAAAAATGCTCCAAACTAGAGAGCTAATGGATTGAGTTCAGACCCATAAATTTTTTTAAACGATGGCACCATTTGACTATAAGGAAAAAAAAACTATAGGAAAAAAAATTCAAACGGTAGCACCATTTGACTAAGAAAATAACATTAACAGGATTTGAACTTGGGTCTGAGGTGGAATAAGAGCCGTGCAAACCAACTATACCAAATAAAACTTGTTCGCATTGTAGTTTCAAAATAAATACGGTGATACACAACAAATTAATACGGTTGCACTTTTCATGATCTAAATTTTTTTATTCTTCGACAGATGAATAATATGATGACACGTGCCACTTAGGTCCGTCCCTGATTAAGTTTGATATGTTACAAATTAATGGATGTAACATCAATTTAAAGTTCTCAAATATCTTTTTTTTTGGTAAAAATATATATAACATAAAAAATTTAATATGTGAAGTGATGTAGTTTAACTGTGTTTTTGAAATTCAAACCCATAAATTAAATATCGTAATGCGGGTTAACATACAAATGAAAATCATGTTATAAAAGTTTTAAACTGTGCGAATTGATGCAGTATGAAAACATGCATTAACGCACGAGACACGCAATTTGAAGTCGGTTATTACTTTGCTTAAAATGACAAAAGTAAATTATCTGAAATTGACAAAAAATAAAATACGTTGGCTTTTAACGTAAAAATATACCGATTAAAGTAGAAATTGACCTAAAAAAGATTGTTATTCCATGTAATTAACCTTTTTTTTTTATTCAAGTTTAGGTTTTATGTTTTGACTATAAAAAAATACGGTCATGTTTGTTAAACATGTAACGTTTCTATATTTTGACCATTGAACATCCATTTTCTTGCAATTTTGACCGAATTCGATATAAAAGAACAGGGTTACAAAGTTTGGTTGTATCTTTTGATCATTTTGTAGTATATTAGAATAACTGAAAAATATTAAAAATACAGTAATATCTTTGTACATTTTACTTATTATAGTATACTAATATAATATAATAAGTAAAATGCACAAATATATTACTGTATTTTTAATATTTTTCAATTATTCATGTATACAGAAAAAATATCAATATAAAATCTCTTAGGGGCCGTTTACCAAATGCTTACTCGGGTAAATGAATACTAAGTTACATTACCTTGCCGGATGAATATGTAAGGACCAATAATCTTACCCGGTAAGAACAAGACATGGACCAAGAGTCTTACCCTGTAAGTGAAGGCGACGACTCTTACCACGATAAGCTTATCGGGTAAATTATTGCATACGATACCGTATTGGTGAACTAAAATATTACCCAATAAGTAAATGATAGTGTTAAATTTTACCAATAAACTCTTACCGGGTAAGTGCTTGGTAAACGGCCCCTTAACCCATTCCGGCCGGTTCTCTAAAATTTATTTATAATAAAAAAGACAAATTGCATAAAAAATAACATAATTTAACTTAATCTCTATATATTGTAACGTACTTTCAAAACTTTTATTTTGATACCTATGATCTAAAGTTTTAAACATTTAAATACCCGGGTAACCGGTTGAAAACTAATTTTAGATTAAAAAGATTCATGTCAGTAACCACGTCAGCAAATAATACTGAGTTGAATACCACATCACTCGCCACATCAGCATGATAACCGGTTAATGTTTCAACCGGTTATCAGGGTACTTAAATGTTTAAAACTTCACATCTTAGATGTCAAAATGAAAGTTTTGAAAGTATGTTACCTAAAATATGAATCAAGTTAAAGTAGATTACTTTTTTATGCAATTTACCCACAAACGTTAAAAATATTTAAAAAAAAATTATACTCAAGTCTAACATATTATTTATATTAGAGATTTTAACATTAATTATAGTGTGAAAATATTATATAATTTTATTATCCTTATATACTTAGAAAAAACTATATAAATAATAATTATTTTATTTTATTGGTGGAAAAAAATAAAAACAAATCTCTCTCCTCACTTTAAGTTTATAAAATTTTCTAAACTTAATGATTTTTTCTTTTTGTTTCCTCTATTTTATAAAACAATTTAGAAAATCTGTTAGAACAAAATAGATAAATAAAAGTTTCATTTTTTTTTATTTTGGAGAATCTGTTGAAGATGCTAAAGTGGGGAGTCTCGGTCTATGTACATTTTATCCTTCACATATCCTACATATAAATGATATTTTATGGGTATGTTTAGTTTCATTTTTCAACCACTTAGATGTATTAAAAATAAATATACAATTTTGCAAACATTATCACTTTTCATGATGATAAATTGCAAAATACAACTGATGTGACAACAACTGATAGGGAAGAATATTCGTCGAATGAAAAATTAGGTGTGACGTTTAGATTTTTTTTGCATGTGCCTCGGACTTACCAAATGTAAACAAAATGTTCCTTGAGGCCAGGAGTGGTCAATTTAAAAATATCGTTTTTGGGTGCGATAAAATGTTCAATGTATATCGATAACACGATATTGAAAATAGTAAACTAAACACAAATAACAATATGTAGACGCACGTGGTTCAATTAGCGATGTAACAATTATCGTAGATAGGAAGAGGGGGTCGATAATATGGAACAAATCAGATGAAAGTTACAGATATGAGAAAACTAAACTAAGAAGTAAGAAGTAGAACAAAATTACCAAGACAACGCTTAAGATGTCACACAGTGATCTCAAAATGTGGTTTAAATAAATGTTTCAACATTCTAACAACACAAACAGTTATAAATTAAACCTAGAAGTCTAATTTTTCGATTTGATGTTCATAAGCAGCTTCCTACACGATTTGAAAATCAGCTATGATTTCCAGTTCCGCTTACAACTTTGCACATTACCTAGAGTAGGTCGCCTAACCAAGTTGCTCGATTCTTCAACTAAATGTGATATCGAAACAAATTCATGGAAGTCCCATTGATTTATAAAATCCACAACCGACGGATTTAAAAAATCCTTTTTTATTTCAAATTCAAATACCAAACAATCCTAAATTAATTTATAAAAAATGATTAATTTAACAAACGGTAGAGTTGTGTCACGTTTGATAATTTTAAAATTCGATTACGTTGCTATTAACTAAATTATAATGAGTTGCCAAAGATTGGACACAGGCTCGGAACGTGAGCCAAGCCAAAACTAAGCCGAATAGCCAGAGTGATGTGAGCTGTCGGTGGCTGGCAGCCCACCGTCATCCCTCAGATACACATGCTTGTTAAGTACTCTTCGTCTCCGTTTCTCACTTTCTTCCCTTTCTTCCCTTTCCTTGGTCGTCTTCTTCTTCTTCTTCACTCTGCTACCAAATTCCTCAAATGCACTGAAACAACAAATCTATCCCCGACTCCCTTTCCCACAGTGGTTAGATTCATTACTATTTCATTATACACTCGTTGCATTCATCCAATTCTTATTGCTGTTCTTGTATCTACACTCTTTAATTGCATTTCTGTTTGTGCTCATTTGGATGCAGTATCTATTGACCTGTATGCGTGGAATTTAGTTAGTTGATCACGAAATAGTATTTCAATTATGACCATCAATGTTGATCTACTATTCTGTTTGCCAGATGTATTATGATTAGGTGAAATTGTGATAAAGTTAATGGGTTATTGGGTGTTTAACAGGAAGCAATCTAATATTTCGCGCTGTGGCTTGGAGTTGGAGGTAGATCTGATTTAAAGAACTGATAAAATTATAACAGGAAAGCTGGCGGCGAAGGTCAGTCGGAGGTATTCTGCCGGCAGCAATGGCAGTAGTCTTGCCAATACTCATCTGGTAGTTACTCTCTTAAGTTGTGAATCTAGTCGATTGGGTTTTGTGTGTGATCAGATTATTGTGAAAATGCAAAGAGATTTTGTGAATTTATCCGTTGTAGATCCTTAATTACGATTGACCATTATAGCAAGGTTAAACATAGTAACGAAGTGCCAGCTGGATTTACTTTTATTAATATGATAATGGTTGAAATATGATTAAAGGGTAGTCGGGTAGATGTGATTTATATGTTTACGGAGATCTTAGGCTTTTTGTTGAATGCAATGTGAACTGGACTTTGTTTCGTGATTTGCATTTCCACAAGGAAGTTGTGATTCCTGATTTGATGAGTTAAGGGCAAGTTATTATAGCTGCTTGGAATTATTGTTGGCATGTTTGCACAGCCATGATTGCTGTCCATTACTTGATATGTACATATATAATTTAAAAAGGATTCTTTATCAACCAAAAAGAGTTCATTTTCTGTAAGCCAACCATAAATTTTGTTACACAAGCAATGCTAAAATGTTAAGACATTTGTTCATTCATGAATTAATTAAGCAAATATACTATTCCTTCATTTATTCATTGATGTTTGTAACCTTTTCCTAAAATTGGTTGTGTACTTATTTATTATATTGATGGTGTACAAAAAATTATTCTCATAAAAAATGTTCCTCTAAAGGGATCCACTTGTTTCCAAATTATGCTTGTTCCCTTCCACTGTTATGTTAAAACTTATACCGATTGCCTATTGAGCTTGGTATCGGGGAAACAGTTTTAAAGATAATATATTGTGTTTGGCTTCTCAGTGTGATTACAGTTTTACCTTGTTAAGGTTTGAGATTCAAAATCTATAAGAATAAATAATAATGTTCCAGACATCGACCTTGGCATGCCCTATTATCTCTTCCTCTTGTAGGCTGCCATACATTAAGTTTCAGCTTCCTCAAGTTAAAAGATCCTTGTTTTACATTTCCAAATGAAAAATTGACAAAGCTTTACAGGGGTCTTACCATGCATAACAATAGAGAATGATAAAATCATGGCTTCTTGATACAGTTTACAAAAGGGTGGAAGTAATCTTACTTGTTATGCCATTTCATGGGTAAGAATAGATGTTGGGTAGCTGGAGTAGTAAATTAAGACCATTAATACAATAATACCTCAACAAAAGAAAAATTATGATCTATAAATTACTTGGTTGTCATGATATTGCCTTGAGCCTTGGCTCTGCCTAAGCATCATGGCAGTCTGCAAGCCCTAGTGATGCAGCACCTTCGGTACTCATGACAAGGCACTTGCTTCGTGATACCTGGCATTCTTGTGAAAACTATGCTTGCCAGTTGTCACATAGATGTCACCAGGGTAAAGAAAAGAAGTTTGATGTCAAATGACATGAATTGATCCAAAGCCTAGTAAGCAAGTATAGGATGGAATGTTTGGTTCTAAGAGACATTCTGTACACACACTAGGTGTGAAGCCGAAATGGAAGTGTTCAGATTAATTTGTGGCCACCATAGACGGTTAGGATTAGAAATGATGATGTACGAGAGATGGTTGGGAGACAAAGTTGAGGAGAAGCTAAACCAACACTCAAGAGGTTTTTTCATCTCCAAGGTAAACCTCAGAATGCAGCATTAAGAAGAGGATGTCTTTACCACTAAGAGATCATTAGGAGAGGGAGGGTCACCCAACATGGGATGAAGTAGTAGATAGAGATTTTTCACGAGTTAATGGGAGTACTCGGTTCGAGTTATAGCATTAGTTATAGATAGCAGAACTTTAGTCATGCTTTGAACAAAAAATTTACATGGATTTGAAATTATAGTTTTGCAAAATTCATTGGTTCATTCCTGTTATTCAATACACTTCAGGGACAATACCTTTTTTTAGTGGTAATGAACCGTTTTTGTCATAATAATGTACTATTGAAGTAAATCAAATACACATACAAATTGTATAGCATGGATTGGCTTTGTTCTATACAGATGACATGGCAGGTCTTGGGTCCTGGGTCCCCAGGTGTGCTGGTGGTTCACTACTGCCATCACTCACCATATCAACCATGATTTATTATGTTATTCAATTGTTGACAATTTCATGATGTCATTGCAGGAAAGAAATGGGGATGGTACTGCTGAAAGAGAACCTCTGACTCCACATTCCCTGATAAAAAAGGGCTCGAGGTCAGTTTAATTATGTAGATGGACCATAAAATGCTTTGGAAGTTCTGTTTTCCTATTCATGATGGTTTGATGAGTGGTTTCTTCTGTCTCTAGAGAGCGTAGTAGCATGGAAGATCCAGATGGGACATTAGCAAGTGTTGCCCAATGCATTGAGCAGTTACGACAGAAATCATCATCTGCACAAGAAAAAGAATATAATTTGAGGCAGTTACTAGAGCTGATCAATACACGTGAAGGTGCATTTAGTGCTGTTGGTTCACATTCTCAGGCAGTTCCGGTGTTGGTGTCTCTCCTACGATCTGGGTCACTTGGGGTAAAGATGCAAGCGGCGACTGTTTTGGGCTCCATGTGTAAGGAGAGTGAACTACGAGTCAAAGTATTACTTGGGGGTTGCATTCCTCCCCTTCTTGCTCTTCTTAAGTCAAGTTCAGCAGAAGGGCAAATTACAGCTGCAAAGACCATTTATGCTGTTTCTGAAGGTGATGCCAAGGATCATGTTGGCTCCAAAATTTTTGCCACTGAAGGGGTTGTGCCAGTGCTCTGGGAGCAACTCGAAAAGGGTCTCAAGGCTGGACATGTGGTTGATGATTTGCTGACAGGTGCTTTAAGAAACCTCTGCAGCAGCACTGAGGGATTTTGGTCAGCAACAATCCAAGCTGGGGGAGAAGATATACTAGTAAAACTACTCATGCATGACCAGTCAAGCACTCAAGCTAATGTTTGCTTTCTTCTGGCATGTATGATGACGGAAAATGCATCTGTATGTTCGAAGATATCGACTGCTGAGACTACAAAACAACTCCTTAAGCTACTAGGACCTGGTAATGAAGCTCCAGCTAGAGCACAGGCAGCAGCTGCTTTAAAGTCTCTTTCAGCTCAGAGCAAAAAAGCAAGGAGGGATATAGCGAGTTCTAATGGCATCCCTTCTTTAATTAATGCTACAATAGCTCCTTCAAAAGAGTTTATGCAAGGTGAGGATGCCCAAGCTCTACAGGAGAATGCGATGTGTGCTCTTGCAAACATTTCTGGTGGATTGTCTCATGTCATCACAAGCCTTGGTCAAAGTCTTGAGTCATGTACTTCACCTTCACAGGTAGCTGATACGCTAGGAGCTTTGGCTTCTGCTCTTATGATATATGACAGCAAAGCAGAAACTAGTAGAGAATCAGATCCCCTGGATATTGAGCTGACACTAATTAAGCAGTTTAAGCCTCAGTTACCATTTCTAGTGCAAGAGCGCACCATAGAAGCTCTTGCCAGTTTGTACGGGAATGCCACTCTCTCAAGCAAACTTGCCAATTCTGATTCAAAACATTTGCTGGTTGGTTTGATCACAATGGCAACCAATGAAGTTCAGGATGAATTGATAAAATCACTACTTATTCTCTGCAAGGAGGGCAATTTGTGGCATGCTCTTCAGGGTCGTGAGGGTATTCAGATGTTGATTTCTCTTTTTGGACTTTCATCTGAGCAGCAGCAGGAGTGTGCTGTTGCATTGCTTTGCCTTTTGTCCAATGAGAATGATGACAGTAAATGGGCCATCACAGCTGCTGGTGGCATACCTCCACTTGTTCAAATTCTTGAGACAGGGTCTGTGAAAGCAAAGGAAGATTCTGCATCAATTCTTGGTAATCTCTGCAATCATAGTGAAGATATACGCAATTGCGTTGAGAGTGCTGATGCTGTTCCTGCTTTGTTATGGCTTCTGAAGAATGGAAGCTCCAACGGGAAGGAGATTGCTGCAAAGACATTGAACCATTTAATTCAGAGATCAGATACAGCAACTATAAGTCAACTTACTGCATTATTAACCAGTGATCTTCCTGAATCTAAGGTTTATGTTTTGGATGCATTAAAAAGTCTGCTTTCCCTTGCCCCACTTAGTGATTTACTGCGTGAAGGTAGTGCCTCTAATGATGCAACCGAAACAATGATTAAGATTTTAAGCTCTACAAATCAAGAGACTTGTGCTAAGTCTGCAATGGCTCTTGCTGGAATCTTTAATCTGCGAAAGGATTTGCGTGAAAGCAGCATTGCTATTAAAACTCTTCGATCTGTGATGAAACTTCTAGATTCTGAATCCGAGAGCATTTTGGCAGAATGCTGTGGATGTCTTGCTGCAATGTTTTTGTCGATCAGGGAGAACCATGACGTGGCTGTTGTTGCCAGGGATATGTTGCCTAGATTACTGACACTTGCAAGATCTTCAGCTCTCCAAGTTGCAGAACAGGCACTAAGTGCTTTAGCGAACCTTCTGTTGGACAGTGGAGTTCCAGAGAAGGTTACCCCTGAAGAAATTATTATGCCTGCTACTAGAATTCTGCGTGAAGAGAAAGCAAGCAGAAGGAACCATGCAGCAGCGGCGATTGCTCGGCTTCTTGATTCGCGTCAAACGGATTCTAGCTTAACTGACTATGTAAATCAGACCGGAACAGTTCTTGCCTTGATTTCATACATTGAATCCAGCAATTGTGGATCTATTGCCCCGTCAGAGGCACTTGATGCACTCGTTATTTTATCAAGATTAAAAGGATCACCAGGGCACATCAAACCTGCATGGTCCGTGCTTGTTGAACATCCAGACGGCATAATCCCCATTGTTTCATTCATTAAGGGTGCAACCTCTCTCTTACAGGATAAGGCAATAGAAGTTTTGTCTAGGCTTTGCCAGGATCAATGTGTAGTTCTTGGAAATGCGATTACAGGATCTTATGGTTGCACTTCATCAATTGCCAAAAGGATAATTGATTCCTCAAATGCAACGGTGAAAATTGGTGGAACTGCACTTCTCGCTTGTGCCATGAAAGCAAATATCCAGAGAGTGGTGGAGGACCTGCGTGAAACACATTTGCATTCCCAATTTATTCAATCTCTCGTTTTAATGTTAAGTTCTCCAAATTATTCTCATTCAGAAGACATGGATTCTATAAGTATCTGCAGATGTTCCAAAGAAGCAATTGCCGGTGAGAAACGCACTAGTACATCAGTTATACGTGGTGCTAGTATTTCTATATGGCTACTGTCTGCTATTGCTTGTCATGATGAAAAATATAAAACTGAGATTATGGAGGCAGGAGCTGTTGAAATTCTCACAGGAAGAATCTCACGTCCATTGCCATATAGTCAGGTACGTACTTCAAAGTGTGTACCTTCAGTTTAAGTTGGCTTGATTATGATATAGGAGAAGGTCACAGCCACGAGCTATAGCTAGTGATATTAAATACTGCTCACTTGAATATGGATGCCCTTGATGAGTAAAAAATATCCAAATTGAGTAGCCTACTATTTGCCTAGTAAAACTGCTCAGGGAGATGTTTAGGCACTATAATCTGCTTTACATCTTCCACTTCTGAAACACACAATCTGTAAAAAAAAGAGAACAGATTCACAATCCAGACTTTTGGTGTTCCACATAGATTATTTATTTATTTTATTTTATTTCTTGTAAATTAAGGAATATGTAGCATATTAAAAAAAGCAAGTTAATGAGCAATTTAGTTACCAATATTCAAGCGGCTGAAGTGGAGGGAATAGCCAGTAAGACACTATCAGAAAATCTAAAAGTGTCTAAAGGAGTTGAGATGTAGTAAAATTAGTAAAACGTAAATCATGGTAGGTACATATTTTTTGTTTGAAAGTGTTTTGGGATGAGGTTTACATAGCCAATAATTTCATCGTCCTTACATATGTTCCATCATTATCTATATAAGTAAATCATTGATAACTTCTTTCTTGACTGTGGAAAGGATTTGGTACTTGACTGCTTGTACGTAACTTGTCTCATACCGGTGTTTCATGCAGTTGGACATTGATGATGATAATAGCATCTGGGTATGCACACTACTATTAGCAATTCTGTTTCAAGATAGAGATATTATACGCACAAGTGCAACATCGAAAGCCATACCAGCCCTTGCTAGTTTGTTGAGGTCAGAGGAGTCGGCCAATAGATATTTTGCTGCACAAGCTACAGCAAGTCTAGTCTGCAATGGAAGCAGAGGAACTCTTCTTTCTGTTGCTAACTCAGGGGCTGCAGGTGGGCTTATTTCCTTGCTTGGGTGTGCTGATGCTGATATACATGATCTTTTGAAGTTGTCAGAAGAGTTTTCTTTGGTTCCTTATCCAGAGCAAGTTGCTCTTGAGAGGTTGTTCAGGGTTGATGACATTAGGGTTGGTGCTACTTCTAGGAAGGCAATACCAGCTCTGGTTGATCTACTGAAGCCAATACCAGACAGGCCAGGGGCACCTTTTCTAGCACTTGGTCTTCTAATTCAGCTTGGGAGGGATTGTCCGACAAATAAAATTGCCATGGTTGAGTCTGGGGCTTTGGAAGCATTAACAAAATATCTCTCACTTGGCCCCCAAGATGCTACTGAGGAAGCCGCTACTGATCTGTTGGGAATCCTATTCAGCACTGCTGAAATACGGAGACACGAGTCTGCATTTGGCGCCGTCAGTCAGCTTGTAGCTGTCTTACGTTTGGGTGGAAGGCGTGCAAGATATAGTGCTGCTAAAGCATTGGAGAATCTATTTTCTGCTGATCACATTAAAAACGCAGAATCTTCTCGGCAAGCTGTTCAGCCCTTGGTGGAAATTCTAAATACTGGTTTGGAAAAGGAGCAGCATGCTGCTATTGCTGCTTTAGTTAGGCTACTCGGTGAAAATCCATCAAGAGGCCTTACTGCTGCAGATGTTGAGTTGAATGCAGTTGATGTTCTTTGTAGAATTCTTTCATCAGATTGTTCAATGGACTTAAAGGGGGATGCTGCTGAGTTGTGTTGTGTACTATTTGAAAACACAAGAATCAGATGTACTGTTACTGCTGGGCGCTGTGTCGAGCCTTTAGTTTCACTGCTTGTATCCGAGTTCAGTCCTGCTCAGCATTCTGTCGTCCATGCACTGGAAAGACTTGTAGATGATGAGAATTTGGCTGAAGTAGTTGCTGCACGAGGTGCAATAATTCCTCTTGTAGGCCTTCTCCACGGCCAGAACTACATGCTTCATGAAGCAAGTTCTGGAGCTCTTGTTAAGTTGGGAAAAGATAGACCTTCTTGCAAGATGGAAATGGTGAAAGCTGGAGTCATTGAAAGTGTACTTGGTATCCTTCAAGAAGCCCCCGATTTTCTCTGTGCTGCTTTTGCAGAATTGCTCCGAATATTGACAAATAATGCCACAATAGCAAAAGGTCCATCTGCAGCGAAAGTGGTTGAACCCCTATTCTTGTTGCTAACAAGGCCCGAGCTTGGACCCGATGGGCAGCATAGTGCTTTGCAGGTTCTAGTGAATATCCTGGAGCATCAGCAGTGCCGTGCTGATTATTCCTTAACTCCACGCCAAGCCATTGAACCGCTCATCCTGTTACTAGATTCTCCTGCTACGGCAGTGCAGCAGTCATCAGCCGAGCTTTTATCTCATCTGCTTCTGGAAGAACATTTCCAGAAGGATTCTATGACACAACAAGTGATTGGTCCATTAATGCGAGTTATCGGTTCTGGTATTCCCATTTTGCAACACAGAGCTCTAAAGGCACTTGTTAGCATTTCTCTAGCTTGGCCTAATGAAATCGCAAAAGAGGGTGGCGTAAGTGAACTATCGAGAGTCATTTTGCTAGCTGATCCCGGTCTTCCTCATGCTTTGTGGGAATCTGCTGCTGCTGTTTTATCTAGTATTTTGCAGTTCAGTTCGGAGTTCTATCTGGAAGTACCTATTGCAGTGTTGGTACGGTTGTTACGTTCAGGCTCAGAAGGCACTGTAATTGGTGCACTCAGTGCTCTCCTAGTCCTGGAAAGCGATGATTCCAGCAGTGCTGTAGCAATGGCTGAAAGTGGTGCAATCGAGGCTCTTTTAGATCTTCTCAGATGCCATCAGTGCGAGGAAAATGCTGCAAGATTGCTGGAGGTGTTATTGAACAATGTAAAGATCAGAGAAACTAAAGCAACCAAATCAGCAATCCTACCACTATCCCAATACCTGCTGGATCCACAAACTCAAGCTCAACAGGCAAGATTGTTGGCAACTCTTGCTCTCGGGGACTTATTCCAGAATGAAACTCTGGCACAATCTACTGATGCTGTCGCAGCTTGTCGTGCTTTGGTGAATTTGCTTGAGGATCAACCTTCCGAAGAAATGAAAGTAGTTGCTATGTGTGCTTTGCAGAATCTTGTGATGTATAGCCGCTCAAATAAAAGAGCAGTTGCAGAAGCTGGCGGGGTTCAGGTCGTGCTGGACATGATTGGTTCAAGTAATATTAATACATCGGTTCAGGCGGCTATGTTTATTAAGCTTCTTTTCTCGAACAATACCATCCAAGAGTATGCCTCCAGTGAAACAGTCAGAGCTATAACTGGTAAGTTTTTGCTCCTACATGGTTATAATAGGTCTGTGAATGGATATCTATAAGTCTGCATATAGTTTAGAATTCTTGTGAAATTTAAGTGATTCATATCCGGTGTGCTGTATGCCAATGCTGGCATCCAATTGTTTTTTTATATAGCATAATAGCATATTAGCATGTGATTAAAAATGTATGTATTATTAAATAATATTCTGTTAAAAAATAGGATGTATATTCAATTATTTGCCAAATAAAGCATGCTTTTAAAAACTACACAAAAATCATATACGTAGCTCATTACACATTTTTTTTGTATCATTAATAATAATACAGTATTTGTCTAATTACAATCTAATATCAGGCAACACCTAAATGCGTATACTCCCTCCGTCACAAAACAAAAGTCCACAATGGAAGAGGCACTCAGTTTTAGAAATGTGTATTATTACACTTTTTAATTGATAAATGCCCATTTTATCCTTAAGAATAGAGGGAGTAATGAATTTCTCCATCTCATAATTAAGGGTAGAATCAGAAAGTAGGCACTTTTGAAAGGGTGACACTTATTTTAGGGACGAAGGGAGCAATGTGGTTGGTATATCTGGAATTATACCCCTTCAGCCAACTCTTTTTCATGCTCTTATCTTAAACTTGCAGCTGCTATTGAAAAGGATTTATGGGCCAATGGAACAGTGAATGAAGGGTATTTGAAAGCTCTAAATGCACTCTTTGGGAACTTCCCACGTTTGAGAGGCTCAGAACCTGCAACCTTGAGCATCCCACACCTAGTGACATCCCTGAAGACTGGTTCAGAAGCAACTCAAGAAGCCGCACTAGATGCACTCTTTCTTCTGAGGCAAGCTTGGTCAGCTTGCCCGGCTGAAGTCTCTAAATCTCAATCGACTGCGGCTGCTGATGCAATACCGTTGTTGCAGTACTTGATACAGTCAGGCCCTCCTCGATTTCATGACAAGGCTGAATTCTTGTTGCAGTGTTTGCCTGGGACATTAACGGTAATGATTAAGCGTGGGAATGATATGAAACAGTCGGTGGGAAACCCAAGTGTGTATTGCAAGCTTACACTTGGCAGTACCCCTTCAAGGCTAACCAAGGTGTGCTACTTGTACTTTTGTCATTACTGTAGCTCTTTTCTTTCACACCACTCCACTTTGAAATAAATGTATATTAAATAAAGTAATGACGTGCCAGGAATTGATTGGTTGGACATGGAGGAGACATGGATACAATTCCCCGTCCCTTCATCTCCACCAATCATGTGAATACACGCCATTACTTTATTGAAGGGATAGAATAAATAGATGAATTAAATAATTATGTATTAAATAAAGTAATAATGTGTTTTCACATGGTTGGTGGGACAAAAAAGGGACATGGAGTTTGGGGATAGGTGATGTGTATTCCTACATAAAACAAATCATCTGTCTCTAAACTCCATGTCTCCATTCTGCCCACCATTTAACGCCTGACATATGTACCCTTCGTGTCCACCAATCGTGTGAATACAAATCATTACTTTATGGAAGAGAGACTAATTAGACGAATTAAAAATTGTATATTAAATAAAGTGATTTCTGGGACAGGGAGGGGAAAAGTGATTTTTATTCTCCGCTTTGGAGAAGGGGCGAATATTCCGATGCACGTAAATTAAGAGAGTCGGTCTGGGTAGTCGCTAGATGTCTTAAATACCCTTTAATAGTGACAAAATTGGGGAATCTCGTTTCTTTTGGATATGCATGTGATTCACGTGCTTAATAAGTTCGTTGATTTCTTGTTCAATCATTGCAGGTTGTGTCAACTGGCCCAAATCCCGAGTGGGATGAGAACTTCGTGTGGTCCTTTGAAAGTCCTCCGAAAGGCCAGAAGCTACAAATCTCATGCAAGAATAAAAGCAAGATGGGGAAGGTAAGTCCATCTTTACAACATCACCATATTCTCTTTCACTTTGTTTTTGTTTTTTTAATTACCTCAAAAACCTTATTTCATCACTCTATCTGCCTCAAAATAAATTCAATATTTGACACAAAACACTTACCCGGTAAGCGCTTATTGGTAAAATTAAACACTATCGGGTAAGATTTTAGTCCACCAAAACGGTCTCGTATCCAACAATTTACCCGATAAGCTCTTACTGTGATAAGAGTCGTCACTCTCACTTACCGGGTAAGACTCTTAGTCCCTATCTCGTTCTTACCGGGTAAGATTTTTAGTCCTTACCATATTCATCTAGTAAGTGACTTGGTGTTCACTTACCCGAGTAAGAGTTTGTAAACGGTCCCTTAGTAAATGTGTTTGACTGGTATTAGTTAAAATTTCTAAATTGTAGATCAAAATCATTGTCATGAGTATCGTTTAATGATTGGGCACTAATGATTAGTAATAGGCAAATAGGTAATTTTGTATTGGAACTTTGCTAAAAAAGAAAATGTTTTTCATTTATTTTGAAAATCCCAAAATATTAATTATATCATTTGTTTTGGGACCGAGAGAGTAGTAGAATTTAATGGAGGTTGTAATCATCAAGTACATGTTTATGTCCCGTACATAACAACTAGTAAACAAATAGAGACAGAAGTGTCTGTATTTTTAATCGTACTTCATCTGTCTGAAAAAATGCAATATTTCATTTAGCATATAGGTAATAAAAATGGAAATTCTACAAACCAATTTATATAGAGTCGGGTTCATATGAGAATGACACCTATTTAAGAAAATAGCCAAATTACTTGTGATTTTACACTGTCATCACGTATAGAATCACATGTGATTCATGCGACCTTGCCATGCGGCCATAGGGTCGCCCACACACTTTTTTGGCTATTAATGTAAAATCACATGTGATCTTCTACGTAATTTGACTACTTTCTTAAATAGGTATCATCCTTGTATGAACCTATCTCTCTCTCTCTCTCTCTATATATATATATATATATATATATATATGTATATATATATATATATCTCTCAAATGTTTCCTAATCTAAAGCAACAAATATAATGAATGAACTCTATCATCTTCCATAAGTATCTCGATCATTATGAATGAACTCTGATCATCTCCTATAAATATCTCAATTGTCCTAATATAAACATTGATCATGATTTGTATTTGAAACTCCCTCTAAAAATGTTCAATTCGTGAACTAAATATCGTCCCTTAATTCTTGTTTGTGCAGAAGTCATTCGGGAAAGTGACCATCCAGATTGACCGCGTGGTCATGATGGGGGCAGTGGCCGGTGAATACGCTTTGCTGCCACAAAGCAAAAGTGGTGCATCCAGGAATCTCGAAATAGAAATTCAATGGTCGAACAAATAAGGTTTATCCGGCTCAAGTGTATAGCTCAAATCTCGCATGGTACAGGAAAACAAATAAAATCATATTCGAGTCGCTGCCATCCCTTTCCATCGTAAGAATACCACGGTACATTTTTCCTTTATTTTAAAAGAACCGTTATGTCAAATAGTATATAATGTTTACTACTATTTAGTTGATTCTTTTATAGTATAGTCGAGACCCTACTTTTGAGTGAGATATATTGAATACGTTTGGTTAGAGTACATCAGTATAGTCGTTTGTTGTAATCGTGTTGCAACCAACTTCTTTGTATTGTTTGCCTGTAAGATATATGTAGCTTTTTATTCTTTGAGATCCTCAAATTCATAATGAATATTTTGAACTATTTAAAATCGGGTTTACAGATCGTTTCTAAAACCGCTTTGCAAAATGCAATACGTTAAGTGCTCAGATATTTTGTTGCTTCAACAACTATGTTAAAATGTATGTTACAGAAAAAGTATAAATCATTCAAATAATATTTATTTATGTTCGTTTAGCATGTTAACGAACGAATATAAACGAACACGAACACACCTGATTTCTAAACGAACGAACACGAAAAAGATTTTCGTTCGTTTACCGTTCGTGTTCGTTCGTTTGTGCGGTTAAGTTAAATGAACAAACATGAACAAGCCTTTGTTCGTGTTCGTCCGGTTCGTTTACAGCCCTAATGTAGATCTTGAAAAACAAGCAACTTCAAATATATTATCTCGATTCAAATTACGAGTCAAGAGTTTTCTAAGTTCACTGTGAAAATGGTTTAGAAATTATTTACATGTTATATGAATTTATTACGATGATCTACATTTCCCAGATTTTACTGGTTTGTAGATTCTTAAGAAAAATAAGCAATTTAAATAAAAGTCGTTTCGATCCGAGTTACGACAACCTAAAGTTCATTATGAAAATTGTTACTAAGGGACAGTTTACCTAAACACTTACCCGGTAAACACTTATCGGTAAAATTCAACACTATCGCTTACTTACCAGGTAAGATTTTATTCACTAAAACGCATCGTATGCAACAATTTATCCCGGTAAGCGCTAACCATGGTAAGAGTCGTCATCCTCACTTAACAGGTAAGACTCGATTCTTGTCTTCGCTCTTATCGGGTAAGATTCTTAGTCTTTGCCATATTCATCAGGTAAAGTAAAGTGACTTGGTAAATACTTACTCGGATAAGCGTTTGGTAAACGGCACCTAAATTATTTATGATGAATTTACGAACTAGATATAATATATATTCGCAAATTTCACTAGCTTCCATGTATTGAAAAAATCACCAACATAGAAAATGTCAAGAGCTATGGCTTTCCAAACTTCACTAGGAATTGATTACGAAGTCATATACGATATTCTTACGAGTCCAGAACCCGTATTTATCAACGGGGTCCTGAGATATTCTATAATCAAAGACTTTGTGGTTGTCACGAACTGGATTCAAACCAGCATCCAAAGATGCTCTCAAAGAGAGATGAAAAACCTTAATCTTGATGAGATATGAATAATCGAGAGAGAAAGTGAGAATTTTTTTGTAAAGTGGTTCTTTTATTAATGCCACATAATCAAAATGATGTGTCATCTGTCACCTCATTTAAATCATATAAGTAAAGAAAAGTGAGGATTAACTGGTTTAGAAGGTAACAAGTTATCCATTGTTATATTGAATAAATTTTCAAAGTATAATACTGTAACACCTTATACTTAGATTATAAATTTCTGGAAAAAATTCAGTATATGACCCGTTCGAAAAGTCATGTTTTGCCTCTTTCTTTGTAAACATTTGTAAAAGTAATGATTGCAAAATAAATGGCTGAACAAAAGCCACAATTACTAACTAATCTTTATAAAGACGACTATTTACAAGGTATAATACTACATTCATATTCTCCCAAAAATACATTCATCCAAACTAGATTAATCTTCCAAAAGCCTCAAGCATTGCATCATCCAATGAACTTACTTGCTAGCCTTATAATAACCAAGAATGTTGCTAGTACAACCACTTGAACCAGTTCCTGAGATGCATGTCGACAAACAAAACAAATCAGGCTACATGCCTAGTGAATTCAAGAGTTTTCACAATACAATATTTCAAGTAATTTTTACTTTCAAACAAAAATGCATAACTTACATATGATTGATGTGACATGTCAAACAAATGTTAAATTCATCCAAAATATTATAAGTTTGCAATCAATCAATATTTATAAAGTTATGTGAATACTACTAACAGGTGACCCATAACAACCTGAATTAGTGGAGGAGCAATACCCAATAGTCCACTTATTCGTTAGGTTAATTTTGGTTTAATTACCATTGTGCAATGTGTCCACCTGACACTATACCTATTAGCCGAGTATCTGACGCTATATCCATGTACGGTACTACAATATATTACTGATAGTAGCAACACATTAACTATAAAGGGAGCGACCCCAATACAAACACAATAAAGGTGGTAATCCTAAGTATCTAGATCTGGATCTACCATTCTCATGTCAGTGAGTAAATAAATAACTCGCCATGCCCCTTTTATACAACGTAATGATTTTCCTCATTTGGTTAAAAAGCATGCTTGTTTAAAAAAATATATCACCTTTCTAAGTTACCAAAGTATTTCCTACATACTTTATCAAATAAACAAGGCATAATTAATATGTATAAAGTCACTTTGTATAAACATCAATACCTTCCTTCCGTAACATCATTTAAAATCATCCATTTTCCACTTCAATCACCAAAACAGGTCCAACAAAGATAAATCATGTAAAAGTAATTACGTTTGACGTGCACCCAATTAAAATCTACTTGAAACTCACCTTAGCCTATTTTAGTTGAAATCTCGTCGGTGCCCAACTTGCTTATCCGTCGTGCTACCTAAACAATCCACACATGATTCTCACATCAATACGAACATCTTAAACAAAAGATTTAGACAACTTACTTATCTTAATATACATACCATCAATAATCACTCAAAAATGGACTTTGAATCTTTTCATACATGGATTTAAAAGAAACAAATCTTTTATTTACGTCTATAACGGACAGCTCAGCAAAAACTCCTTTTTTGACCTATTTAGAGCCCGAATTACCTCATAATCAAAGTAGAAGCCTTCTCAACAGTTCCAGATTGGTATTGCACATCTAAATCCGAGTTAGGAGTGATTTTATACAATTTTTACAATTTCCAGCATCAAAATAACTTAATCCGATGACTTGCTCTTATTTCTTCGGCTCTTGACTCACATTCTAACCCCCAAAACATGCTTATCATACCCATTAAAATATGTTTATAAGCTTCACACATTCATTTTTGCACTTAAAACCTGACTAATGCATAGGTTTTCATATATTTGATCAAACCGAACTCAAACATTCTTTCAACTTTGAAAATCCATCAAAACATATAAAAAAACATTGAAATAATCATTGTAACACCTTTATATACCTATCATAACTATATCCACTGAACTTCAATCCATAATTTTGCATATAACGACTCAATTCCAAAATTAAGCAAAAGAGTTCGACTTTTTGAAAAAAGTCAACTGTTTTGAACATAACCTTTAATCTATCATCAAAACATGTTTGAGTGGAACATTCTATCTAATAACATCTTAATGATACCAAGAAACAAATGATAACAAACATTTTAACATTTTCATGAAGATTTCAATGTCTTAAAGTTCATCACTAAACTTTGACTTTTAAAAATTGTCAAAGATAACAATTTTCAACTTCAACTCATGATTGAACGTCTTAGATGAACTCAAAATTATCCTAAACATGAAATAAACTTACCCAACAAATTACTTCTACTAACAAGATGTATAATACTCATTTTCTTTCCATTCTTGAAGGATTTTAGGTTCTAATGCATCAAAGTGAAAAATATAACACAATGGGACTCAATTGAAATTAAAAATATATATATCATAAAATCGGGTTTCTCATGAAAATTACACACTAAAATACTCCAATTTTATTAGAAGGTATTTTTATATTATATATGTAATTTATTTATTCGCATGTTGTGGATCACGTTATACACGTTGCCTGACCAAGCCTTGCCACTTTTCCCGGCGATCACTCTATCATTCTTCTCCGATCGGCAAACGTTCGCCGGATATCTACTCACGACGCATATTCCACCGTTTTCGTAAGTGATCTCCTTCACATTTTCCTTTACTCGATTCCGTTTCTGAATTTTCATCTGTTTTCTGATATTTGATTCTTCTTTATTTTACTTTTAATCATTTTACAGCCACCGTCTTGGAACACCGGCGCCGCCGAGGACCACCGTCTTCTTCGAAGGCGATCACCTGCACCAATTCAGATCTGTCCTCGAACAATGTCCTTACCGCATTCCGAAGGTCATGGGATGAGCGAAGGTGACAATGCGGATTTCCTTAAAGTGTGCGATGAGCTCTGCTACGAATTATCGTCCTTGCAAGAGCTTGCCTGCCGTGGCGCATGGCGATCAATTCTGGACAAAGTCGCTCAAGCACGTTCTCGGTCTCTCCTATCTAAGCCTCATGAACATCTCGTTTATCTAGCCTACAACGCTATAGCTCTAACCAAGCTCCGCCGTTTCTCTGAAGCAGTCGCCGAGCTCGAATTGGTGGAAAAAGGCCTGGATATTTACCGGTACGAAGCTTATCCACATCATTACCCTAACCGCCATGGCTCCATGGCCCCTTTTGTTCTCCGTTGGTTGTATGCTGAACTCCCTTCTAGAATAGGCAAACGTCAAGAAAGTTTAGATCGATTCTACATGTTACTGCAGTTTATTAGGGAAAAACTGGCAAAAAATTTACCGGATGCATCTCGTGCAGTATGGAGAAAACGCGAAGGTTTGGTGATTAATTCGATAATAAGTCATCATTTGAGTCATAAAGAGTTTAAGGTATGTTTAGATTTGATTAAAGAGTTGATTAACCATGATTTGACCCCTGTTGCTAGAGCAACTTTGATGACGAAGTTAGGGTATATTCAAATGCAATATGGGGATCTTGATGGTGCCAGGGGGACTTTTAATGGGATTGAGGGTATTGTGACAGAAGGCAAGGGAGAGATTGTGATGCAAAATCTTGTGAATAGGAATAAGGCATTGATGTTTCTGGTTGAGAAAGATTATGTGTCTGCAGTGATGGAGTACCAGAAGTGCATTGATAGAGATGTTTCGGATGTGATTGCTATCAATAACAAGGCCCTTTGCTTGATGTACATGCGTGATTTGTCTGATTCTATTAAGGTGATGGAGAATGCTTTAGAGAGAATCCCTACATATGCCTTAAACGAGACGTTTGTGGTGAACTTGTGTAGTATGTATGAGTTGGCTTATGTTAATCACTCAGATATCAAGAAGACGCTTGGCAGTTGGATTGCTCGTGTGGCGCCTGATGATTTTGATACTTCCTGTACTCGAATATGAGGTACCTATGTTCTTTCAAGGGACCATGTTTGTTAGAAGGACTCATATATCCAACATGCAATCTATCTTGATTGGTTTTTAGCATTTTAGAACATGGAAACTTAATTGTTATAAGGTTTGAAGTTTGATCTTATTTTAGAAGCATCGATCATCTAACATGCAACCTATCTTGATTGTTTTTTAGCATTTAAGAACTCTTCTTTGATGGAAAGTTATGCTTTGAAAGTTTTGAAGTTTGATCTTATTTTACATTGGGATATGCTGATGGGGTATTCCTGTATTGGAGATTCATCAGCAGCCAAGCATGCATTCATAGACAGCATTAATCTTTGTAGTTCTATATTGTATAACCAGCATCAGAATAGTTGCCTTCTCAACTGCTTAATCAAATTTAGTATGTTACCAGTTCTAAACTAGACAAAAGTGAACCAAGATGGTGCCCCCAAAACTTTGCACACATCCAGCATATAGGGTATATCTGCTGATTTTGGCTAGATAAGATTGGAGGGTAGAACAAAAATGTATATTTGTAGCATTTGTGACTGGCACATTAGAGCTTTAGATCCATTCACATTGCTTACTGGTATTTAGAAGAGTTTGTGCCTCACTGAGGTTTTTGTAGAGCTCCAATTTCTTTTAGCCCATGCCATCTCAGAAACAATTGGTTGAAATTGTGCATGCCATTTCCATGTAGTGATTGGCAAAGTGGATGTCATTCAAGTTTTTAAGACATTTAGTTAGCTTAATAGCACTATGTATGTCTAGAGTAATTCAGAGTTCATGTATATAAATACTCTTTCACTTGCATTTGCATTCTAATTGTTACTAAACTTGGATCAATTATCCTCTATATATGTTGAAACCTCATTTCTTTCCTCAAAGACTCTTTTAATAACAAGGGTGGTGCCTGATTGGTTTGAGCTTGACTCCAAAAATCAAAAGTACCTGGAGGTCTCAGGTTCAAATCCAAAGAGGAATAAAAATCCCCTTGTGGCCACAGAGGTTCAAATGCAGTGACTCCGGGCTATCTGCAAAGCAGGTGGTCGTCCTAGGATTAGTCGGCTCGCATAACGGGTTGGATATCCAGGTTAATTAAAAAAAAAGGATAGGAATAATTTGAGACTTTGCATGTTGGTATTTTTTTATTTTTGAGACATGCAAATTATGCATTTGATTTGTGATGGGTTTGAAGTTGGCTTTCCCTACTAGAGTTCAATCTTTGCTGAAGTTACAGGGCCACGGTTGCTTTTAGTCGAGTCTACTGTATGTCTCACCAGTCGAAGTTGATATTTCTATCTCGGTAGCACACGCTCGTTGATCAAATAACAGCAACGGTGTATATTTTAACTTTGGCATATAATCGTTAGATAAAATCCATAACCTAGTATTTGTTCAAGTGTTCCTTTAACACCATTCGTAAACAAGTCTTAAATGTTGTGTTCTCCGCCCATTTTTTACAACGAAAAAGGGAGGGAAAGAAAAGGAAAGGAGTGGGAAAAATCTCGATTTTAAGAGGAAAAAGAAAGAAAAATGAATGAAAATCATATTGGTTTCCTTTTTCTTCTTAAATTCGAGAACACATCGATATTTAAGAACCAGGAAACCACAAAAAATGTGTCATGACAAATGTTACAAAATTCACCATGGGTCTCGATTGTTTCCGAGTTCTCAATGAATACAAGGCTTCTAATAAAACTTGCCTCCTATATCCTATTTACAAAAATACAGTCATGGATTAACAACTCAAAACATAACGAAAGAAACAAGATCCTTTTGAAATATTAATGTCTGTTGTAAAAACCTGTTTCTCATCATCTAAGTTGAAGCACTGAATAATTAATTAATGAATTAAAGGCAGGATGTAAAAGGACTGGAAACATAATACCAACACAAACACAAGAATATGGCAATGTTTTAAGTGAAGCTCAATCATAACAAAACTCTATGCCAGACCAAACCAGCAATAGAACACAGATAAAAATTTATGTCTACCAGAACCACAAAAAGAGAAAGAAACACAAGGTACTTAGTATGAACTTCTATCCGAGACCGTTTTTTAAAACTTAACAAACCAATGGAATACCAGAAAATCACTGTGAAACTCCAAGCCACTTGGTGAATACATCAAACTCCGCATAATCACTATCCGAAATCATGGTCTTGTACCATGCTTTGCTAGCGGTTTTGATCTTCGCTGCTTCCTCCTGTTGACATCACAACAATTCAAAACAACAAAGTTAATACACAAGTACAACTAGTCACAATCTGCAATCAGATAGATTGAAACAGGCACCCATATGATTCAACTTCATAGTAGAAATAGGGATGTTACTATATCACAACCATCGAGGAGGAAATTAGTGGATAGTTGTGCAATTAGCAATATCACAAGTATAGTCATGATGTTAATGTGTATGGAGGAAATTAGTGAGTGGTTGTGCATTTAGCAATTTAGCCTACCCCAATTGAAATATCACATGATATCAGTGTCTTCACAAAGCCATATAAAAAGAAGTATCATCACAATACAAACCCAAGTACTTGTTGAACCAAAAACCATGGTTACAGATACAACACATTCAACTGAAACACGTGCATTTGATAGTATATACAAAAGCACTTTCAGATACAACAATCCTGGTGAACTAAAAGGGATTGACCTAACAATCAATCACTAGTTCATGAAGCATAAAATCCCATGTTCAGTTCCTGCCAAATTCTATCAACCACTTTGAGGGTTACACATGCCTAAAACTTGCCCACACAAAGTGAAAGTATAAGCAATATCCCCACAAGAGGCACAGGCACAAAAATTGATGCCTTTCACTGCATCAGTATATAGAGGAGCTAATGCACTTCAAACGCATAAACTAAGCACTAAGAACAAAGTAAGAATTAGCATTGGTGTCAACAAGAACAATGAGGACTTGTTTAAGTATGTGGTCAAAAATGAATTCATAGTCATCTCCACCAAAAACACAAATGCGTCTCATCCAATTGCAGGTTTAGTAGTAAGAGCACACATGATTGTAGCAACAACTAGTACAATATATTGCAACACACCCCATTAGCATACAAATAAGCTACCCAATACAATCAATTCAACTAAATAGTAAAAAACAAAAAAAACAAGCAATGACTGATCCTTTTTCTAGACAAAAAGAAATTGAAACAATAATAGGTTATTAACAAGTCTGTTCATCATAATATTACCATCTTTTAAAAAGAACAATGGCTAATCATCAAGATTTTCATTAATATAATTGAATGCATTAGGGAATCATTTAACCTAAAAACTGAAGTCAATACAACTAAAAACACCAATAACAAAACAAGACACATCAAAAGCAAGAGCATGGAAGAACATCTGTTCACACATACTTTAAGGTTAGGGAAGGAGACCACGTGTACCTTGGAAATGGGCTGCCTCTTCTTATCAAGCTTCTCCTTCTTGGCCTTCTTCCTTTGCTCCTCAGCAAGAAGAGCCATCCTCTTAGCAGTCTTGGCATAAGGATTCAACCTGAGCATGGTGTTCAAGTTCTTCAATGGGTTCTTCTTCATCGGAGCCCTCTTCACTTCCTTCTTAATTGGCTTCACCACTGACTGCACCTCATCAGAATTGATGATCCGAGCCAAATCAGCATTAGCCATCTTGGCCCTAGGCAACACATAACCCTTCTTCTTCGAACTTGTCTTCTCGAACGACCCATAAATCGAATCCAACTTCTCGAAGGCAGATTTCGTCCAAATAATGAACCTCCCAAGATGTCCTCCGGGAGCCAGTTTCAGCAGATTCAATCTCTCCACATTAGCTATTTCGACTCCAGGGATATTCCTGAATGCCTTCACAAGCTTTGCACCTTCAGTTCCATAAACAATCAGCGGTCCTTTTCGAGAAATATACCTACGGTTCCTCATTTTCCCCTTTCCAGGACGAATGCCGACTGAATCCTTAGCTTTCTCAGCATCAGCATAAGCTCCGATCTGCTTCAACACCTTAATTGCATTCTGAGTCTTCTCAACACCTTCTGCAGAATCGCTAACAACCAATGGAAGCTCAGGAACCGATTCAATACGATGACCACGGGCCATAACAAGCGACGGCACCGCAGAAGCAGCAATGGCTGAAACGACAGCGTATCTCTTCTGGTTCACATTGATCTTCCTGTGCCATCGGCGCCAGATCCTGGTAGGTGCGAACATGCGCCCACCACGACACATGTTACCGAAAGCTCCTTGTCCAGCACGGTGAGTACCGCCACCAGGAACACGGGGGATACGAGATACAGCACGTCCTGTACCCCATGACTCGGCGGATGTCTGGTGACCAGCTTTCCTGGAGACGGCGTATGGTTGACGGGAGTTCTTGGAGATGTTGGAGTGAACAAAGTTGACGATGTCAGGACGAATAGAGGCTTTCATGACGTGAGGGAGGGGAAGACTAGCACCGTCGGTGGCCATATCGGATTCCAGAGGTTGGACGGTGACGAGGGGGCGGGCGGCGGCGGCGGCCATTTCTGAATGTTGCAGCAACAAAGGGAGCTAGGGCTTCTGTGCAAGATTTGGAGTGGCAAGTTCATATATATTTGATCTCAACTAGGGCTGGGGCAATGGGCTACTGGCTACGGCCCATACACATTAATATGGGCCTCGATCTTTTTCTTCAATAACCTATTTATTTTGTAATTGAAATTTAAAAGTTAATTACCATTTACCAAAAAATGTCCCTTTTACATAGGTGTTCTTGGAGGCAGGTTTCGTGTAGAGCCGGTTAGAGTTGTTGGTAATCAACTTTAAAGTATAAGTAACGAAGCTTTTTATAATCTTTCAAATATCTGAAATTGAAAACTAACTGGTTCCATACCAAACCAGTATTATAAAAAAGGCTAAAACATACAAAAAAAAAAAAAAAAACTTAAAAGCATTGTCTAGCGGTCTACTAAACCTTCCAATTTCTTGTGCTATTACCTGTTTGGCCTTCTAACTACATGACACTTATTGGTTATATCATCTAAGTGAATTCATGATATTGCATATAGAAATATTGAAAAGAAATACTGAAATCATGCTGTAATTGTGCATATAGACCATACATGATCTTGTTAAAGTGCTTTCATTAAAATATTTGCAGTTACTAAAACACGTTTGTACATACTACATATATGATTAGCAGCCGAGAGCTCTATAATCGTCTTATATGGTGTGGAAGACATGATACACTAGCACTAGACCAAGAAAATAGGTCCTTGCAATGTGTACTAGTCCTTACTTATGCTAAGCCGAACCAATTGTGTCCCGACACATATATTAAGAATAATACTTTTCAAGCATAGTATTACAGATACGTTAAAAATACCATTAGTACGGCTAAAACAGTTTAAACAAAATGAAACACATAATGGAACAATTTTGAAATAATAACAATCATGTATCCCATTTCGTAAGTGACACGAACTTCAAGCCGAAGTTGAGAAAATCCTACCATTTTGCATTGTATTTTGAAGTGGAATGAATTATACAGTTCTACTATGTTTTTCAAGTTATATTTAAGTGAGAGATTTACTGATTGATATTATAAAACTGCTAGTACAATTACATCGATTATGTCGAAAACATTATACATAACAAAACTTATTCCTCAACTCTATTGAAAACGTTGTACAAAACAAAATTTATTTATTATATATGTTTTTGACATATGCGACAATTATTTTTCAGTGTCGACCAAATAACGTAGTTGTACTAAAGGGTCTTTTGCCTAGCGGTATACGAGTCTGTGACCTCTTAGGAGGTCAAGGTCTCAAACCTCATCAAAGGTGAGGAGGGTGTGTGAGTTTATTTGTTCTATTTGTCATATATAAATATTATATACTTTAGAAAAATAACGTAATTATATTTTCCATTTTCATTCCCCTCTCTAAACCAACCATATCCTTGATTATCAGTTAAAAGCTCGTATTAAATCAACTTTCTTACTTATATAACCGTAGAGATCCATTGTAGATCCTTTTTCAAACCTGCTCCCATTTCGAATCAAGAGATAGATAAACAGACACATCTCATTGCACTGATCGGGGGCGTTTGTAGTGACTAAGGGGATCGAAGACCAAGAAGTGAAATATTTATGCCATGCATTCTTCTTACGGCTAGTTCCAATAGGTCATTTATGATTGCCCGAAAGACTAGTCAATACATAAGCTAGTCCAAATACCCAAGATTAGAAAAAACCCGCTTATAATTATAAATTTTTAATTATTTATAATCAAAATTTGACATTCTAAAAGCATGTCCAATAGTTATGTTATATTTTATGTGAAACAAAATATTACAAAGTCAAAATCCGTAAAAAAAAATACATTCAACTCCAAGAGCTATGTTATATTTTCTCTAAAATAGGGTCTCATAAATCAAAATTTTAAAAAAATTCCACAACTACTCTATTTTCGCAATTCTAATATTAACTATATTATTAAAATATAATTTATTTATCATAAACATTTATTTTTAATACCTATTATTGGTGGGAAAGTATCTATACTATATTATAAAGCATTTGACAAAAACTTTTAAAAACAATTTTTTATATATAAGTACTATTTATTAATGTATATTACTTAAAACTCAAGATTACAAGTAGATTGTGCGCAAGTACAATTTATTAAAGCTTCATATTTGAATTTGTGTAACTAACTGCAGATAAACATATCATTTTAAATATAAAAAATCTAAAATATAATTAGGATAATCATTRAGTTCTAACAGAATACTTADTTATTATYTTTATAAAATGTTATATTATTAAACCAAAAATAAATTATTTCATTATTAAACTTAAATTAAATTATAATTGAAAAATTGAATTAAARAAATTACACAAAAAACAAAAACTTCTAAATAGTTAATTTGATACTAATATTGATATATTTATTTTTGAAAATTTTATGATATCTTCAAATTTAATTTTTATTGAAAAATAAAAACATTATTCTTTTCTCTAAACCACATAAAAATTGTATTATAACATCTATAAAGACGGAACGAAACATTAAAATCTAAATATATATCGTTGTATTGCGCGAGTATCCTTCTAATAATAATAATTTTTCTCTATTTAAATATTTCTTTAAGTTTAGAGATTTCTATAATCTATCTTGTTTTCTTCATTTTAACGTACAAGATAATATAGAAGCTCTTAAAATCCCTTTTATTTATTTTTTTCTATTTTAACATTTAGGAACCGTTTACCAAATACTTATTCGGGTAAGCGTTTATATTATCTTACCCGATGAATATGACAAAGACTAAAAATCTTACCCGATAAAAACAAGGCAAAGACCGAGAGTCTTACGCAGTAAGTGAGGGAAATGACTTTTACCATGATCAACTCTTATCGGGTAAATTATTGCATAGAAAACATTTTTTGTTAACTAAAATTTACCTGATAAATAAATAATATTATTGAATTTTACCCTTAAATAGTTACCGAATAAGTGTTTGGTAAACTGCCTTTAATTTTGGGTATCAATTTTGAAGATACTCCTCCTTTTAAACAAGTATTATTTAATCATTTTGTAACTCTGAAAACGGTTGATGTACGTCTACAACCCCAAGTTAACGACTACCACCCAGTCTTATCCAATCTTCCAGTTAGCAGCATATCCTCTTCCATGGTTCCCTTTTGATTCTTCCTCAATCTGCATCTCCATCTCCTCCCATCATCCATTAATCCGAACCAGAAATGGCTACAGCAGCATCAGCAACATTTCGCCTCACTCAGCCATCATCATCGATGAGTTCATCGTCGTCTTCTCCCAGATCCAAACCTCACCTCACCTTTCCCTTCAAACCCTACACCCTTTTACCACTTCCCAAATACCCTAAGCTCCAAATCGCTTCAAAATCAATTGATGTCTCCAAAGAAGATAAACCAGTTTTGGATCCTGTTTCAGAACCAGTACCAGAACCGGAATTCTCAATAGAATCCATACCGCAAACAGACGAGTTCGACAAACGCAGGCTAGAGGAGAAATTCGCCGTCCTAAATACCGGAATCTACGAATGCAAATCGTGTGGATACTTGTACAACGAGGCCGCCGGTGACCCGTCGTATCCGATAGCACCTGGTTTGCCGTTCGATAAGTTGCCGGAGGATTGGAGGTGTCCGACGTGTGGTGCCGCCAAGACCTTCTTTCAGGGTAAGAGTGTGGAGATTGCTGGATTCGCTCAGAACCAACAGTTCGGATTGGGGGGAAACACTTTGACTTCCGGCCAGAAGGCCATTCTCATCTATGGTAGCCTTCTCTTCTTCTTCGTCTTGTTCTTGTCTGGTTATTTTCTTCAATGAAAGCAGATAATATGGTGGGTATAGATTTAAAGGGATTTTTGTAATTTGTATACCATTTCTTCCATGATTTCTGAAAATTCATTGATAAGAGGTTTTTGGATGGTGAAGATGATGATGTGGGTAGGATTCTTGATGATTGATTTGATCTTCATATGTGAATCTTCACTTTCTTGCATTCAAGAATCTGTTTCATCATGGATTTCTTGATCAAACAAAACCAATTTGCTTGTGACTTGCAAATGTTAGTTTAAGCTTATGGGAATTTATTGAACAAAATAAGAGCCAAAAAGGTTGGATTGTTTCTGCACTTTGGTAGATGACATGTCTATATACATTCGCACACATTTTACTATTCGGGGGTGCGTCTGGAAAACAATCGCTCTATTATTTATGATAGATGTCAGGTCTACATACATTTTACCCCCTTAGACTCCGGTACCCTACCTTCAAGTGGAATGTACCGACCTTTGTTTTTTGTTTTGATTGGATAGAATTAGAAGGATACCCTATTTTTGACTAAGATATACTAGCTTAATTTCGATGGAGTGGAAGCGTACAAACTCAAGTGATATATGGTCAATCGGGGGAACGAAAATCTAGAGGGATGAATTTATGGCTTATTTACATTACAGAGTTTCCTATCGTGGCTAAAATCGAGCAAGATATGAATGAATTGTTGGGCATAGATCAAGTTATCAATGATGGCATTATTCGTGCACCCCTCCTCGATCTCGTTGTATATATAAACTTTACATTAACGGGCATTTATCATAATGTGCACTTATATGAGAGTAAGGTTAGCGCATACAGTTAAGGGTGTTCAATGTGTATCGGAATCCAATTTGATACCATCTTGACGTAGAATATAGTTGCTTGGAATGCTGCCAAGGTATGAGTACCCATGATCTTGTAGTCAGAAGTACAATAAGGGCCTGTTTACTTGTGGCTTAATGAGCTTAGTGGATAAATGGGCTTATTCGCACAGACTTTCTAGGCTGTTTACTTTGGGCTTAATCGCTCAGAAATGGGCTTATTCGCCCAGATGAAGAAAGGAACTTGTCCAGATTAAGCCGGCTAAAAGACTGCCCTACCCTTCTCCTCCATCGATCGCACATCTCTTCTCCTCCATCGATCGCACATCTCTTCTCCTCCAAACTGTTTACAGAACCCTCTTCTCCTCCATCGATCGACCGATTGATAGTCGAATTTCTCAAAACGAGAGGAGATGGGAACCTTCTGGAAGGTGTGGGTGTGGGTAAAGACGACGAATTTGAAGAAGTTGAAGGCGAAGGCGAAGGAGACAAGTATCTTGAAGAAACTTGTCTTGATTTAGGTCTTGTTGGTTTATTAATTCCATTATCTTTCTCGGAAGGCAACAACGGAGGTCTTGTTTGGTTTGTTGTTTCAGAAATGGCAGCCACCATCATCAAGAAAATCACAAAATAAGAAACCCCAGATGAAATCTTCAAGTAACTCACCTCACATTGTCGATTTAACCCAAAGAAACGATCAAGAACCCCCAATTTTTTTGCCAAGAAATCAACCCCCTGCAACACAAAGATGAAGAAACACCATGACAACTTGAAATCCGCGAATGGGTTACTTGAAATCTCCCTCAGTTGYCGAACTTTACGACACAGAGTAACAGCAATAGTACAGTGATGGAATTCAAGATTCAGAAGCTTTTTTCGTTGTTCCTGCTTCAGAAAGAAAGGAGAGAGAGAAGGGAGTGGTGAGATTTGGAAAAAAGTGATGGTGGGGGGTGGAGGTAGGGATAGAAGCACAGTTGTTTGGGGTTGTGTGAATCTTGATTAAATAGTTGGTTCCATTTTGGTTTATTTAACAATTATTAAACGGTACGTACTTCATCATCAAGGGTTAAATTGATCATTTTTGTTATTCAAACTGTTGATTCAGATAAAAAAGTAAACAACAACATAAATTTATCCAGACAGACAAATTTATACATACATGACTTAATACAAAATTTGGTAAACAGCCCCTAAGTCAGTTTATAATCTTTAGCACCAACTTTGAATACAAGACTGCTTTAGTCTTTGTTTGTGGTGATATAAGTTTCTCCTTACGACCCATGAATTAAAGAATTATCACGACAAGGTTCTACGGAGATGAATTAGGTGTTCATGGAACTTGTTATAAGAAGCTTGGGTTGTTTAATATCCCTTTTAGTGTCTACACCGAACATCTTGATGGGTACTATCTTCATTTTCCGTGGAATAATTGTGTTGGATCTGCTCGATACTCTTCAAACGAAATACTAAATCACCCATTAGAAGACCTTGAGGTCACGTTTGGTTTGCGGGATTTGAGCGGATTTGGGATTGAATTCCATTCCCTTTCCATGTTTGGTTTTTGTATCTCCAGGATTTAAAATCTTGGATTTTATTGGAATCTCTCAAACATATGATTTTAAAATCTCTCGGGTTGGTTTGTATTTCATGGGATTTCGTAGGATTTGTATGTAATGATGGTTCAAAATATGTTAAAACATTTGTTTTGAAATAATCAATTAATAAAAAGATGATTTAATTATTTTTATAATTATTTACAAAAAAATTAATAAATTATTTATAAATAATGAAATTCATTTCCATTTCAAATCCTATGAACCAAACATTCCAAATCCTTTCAAAGCAAAATCCTTCCACAAAATCTAAATCCCTAAAAATCGTTCCATCGAATCAAAAGCCCCTGAGGGTATATTTTGTACCGAACAAGACTAGACAAGCAAAAGTTTGATAAATGAGTGAAAAAATCCTGAAAAGGTTTTAGGGTTTAATTTGATAGTCAGTAGTTTAGTAATGTACACATCCTGTCCCATCTATTTAATTCTTACCATCCCACCTATTTTGGTGGGAAAAAAAATGCTTTTATGTACCCCTAGAGAATAGAGATAGACAAAAAAGCCGAAGCCTAAATTCTGGCCCAAATATAGCCCAAGCCCAAAAAGACCGGGAATGGTGAGCCCAAAGCCTGCTTCATGCCAGGCCTCATCTACCAATCATGCCAAAATTTTGGGGGCAAGGCGGATCCTAATCCCGGGTCAAAAAAACCACGCTGGAAAAGCCTGAAGAAGAGCCCAATCGGCCCAAAGCCTGGCCCGTGTTTAAAGACCGGGCCTTTTTTTCACTCACTGAAAACTGGCTTGGAAGGCTCCTGTCAGGCCTCAGACAGCCCGGACCCTGTGCATCTCTATGCACCACTCAGGTCCAATCCTACTATCATAGTCTAATATCACACCAAACATATAAAAGGAAGTTTTTATATCACCATGTCCTACACACCAAACACACCCTCAAGACCATATTCACATGTGAATATGGTTTGTTATAAGAGATGAAGACTAAGATACATTGATCAACTACTAAGAAAAAAGCTACACAAATCCAGTTGTAAACAGTGAATTAAGCTAAAGAAATTTCATGAGGTAATAAAAACAAGTTGTTACAGTGTTGTATCAGCAACCCCATGTGAATACTTAAGGGGGTATGCTGCTGAACCAAGTGAACCACTTCTTTCTATCCTTCCAATAAATGTCACTAATCATGTCATATACACGAAGAAATATACAACAAAACAAGCCTCAAAGGTTTCTAACCTACTGAAGCTCGCACTGTCACGAAGCCACTGTAGCGAGAACGGTACTTTCTTGAATACTTTTACATCAAGCACATGGTTACACCAAGATACAAATCACCATCACTTTTAAGAGGCTTTTTACTGAACACTTACTGCCTCTTACCGGGTAAGAGACGCTTACCAGGTCAAAGATGATGGTGTTTACCAACAATCTTACTGGACCATTTTGCTGACTGAGAATCTTACCCATTAAGTGAGGGTGGTGACTTTCACCCGGTCAACGCATACCCAGTTTGTGTTGGTAAACGGTCCCTAGACTCCAGGATCAGAATTCTGTGAAACCCTAGTCTTGATTGTATAAATATTCTTTACTTGTTTTTGGTAAGACCATGGACCTATATCCGCTCCCATGGGGAGTCTATTGATCCATGTAGATGGTGGAGATGGAAGGGGACCATGGTTATGGTTATTCAGGTTCTGGAGTTGTGGCATCCTAACTGGAAATTGTCTGTTTCTGGTCCCACTTTCCATGGTTAAAGCAGACATGCCATTTCTGAGGTCTTGATACTGGTCTTGATATGTGTTTGAATTCGGTCTATTGGCTTGCATGTGATTAGGAGGGGAGACCCCAAATCTGGGTCTAGGCATTACACTTCGAGGATTGGGATATCCGTGATAAAAGTTTGGATCTTCATTAGAATACCTTCCGTGGCCCGAAGGTCCAGCTGGTCTTGGCCTATGTTGCAGGTTGTTGCCTGGACCATTTTGGTACTGGGGTTGCTCAAAGAACCCTGAAGACGAACCACTGGATCTGATATTTAGTGAGTTTTTCAGGAGACGATGAGCGGCTTCTCCCAACACATTTCCATGTATTGCCCCCGGTACTTGTGGCCTGAATAAGAGCAATGTGATAAATTAGAAAACAAAAAGATCATGGGTTTTTTATGTGATTGTTTGCATTTTGCAACAACAATACATAAATTCTTGTTCACAAGACTTGGGCCAAGAAAGAAGCTTATTAAGTGCATAAAGCATGCCATAAACTATGGTTACGACTGATGTTTTTCCCAGTCGAACGTAAATGTCGTGCTAGTTCGATCATGATTAGGACTACATAACCAATCAATTGGTACATTAGCAAACATGCAATGTTAGGCTATGTTTCAAACTAACTCATAAGCTAGATTTTAGCTGATGAGCTAGATGACAATGTAAAATGACCTAAAAAAACATGTTGAAAAATTAATCACAAAAAATACAAGGGCACAATTGGAAAAAGTGGAAAAAGACCCCAGGACTTATTGACTAACCAAACGGGGCTTTTTCAATAAGCTAGCTTATGGTCGCCAAACATGGCCTTAATCTTGGGCATTCATTTCTAGTATAACCTTGAGTTTTCGTGTGTGGCAATAGCTGTGGGCCAATGTGTGTGTTTGTGAGAGAGAGAGAGACAGGCACGTCTACCTACTATCTCTGCCTTGTGAGCGGCGACCACTATTGTCTTCATGCCATAACACAGGCAACGGTTTGACGTCAAAAGGTTTCAGAATCTGCAGCAATGATGTATAAAGGGTTAATCAATGTTCATAATGATCCCACTTACATTTAGAAGTCAATGTACAACGTTTTATCAACACAAGCACAACGTTCGACAATCATCATATTTTCATCAAATCTATTGACACCACACACCTTCTTTGGCATGGCTACGCCTTTCGGAGGTTCTGGAATGTGTCTATGGGGAAGTGGATTTAAATAAGTAGCGTTTCTGCAAAAAAAAAAATTGGTTAAATCAAGGTAAAAAGAGATTTTCTAGTAACAATTTAAATAAATAAAAGAACTTACAAGACACGGTTTTCCATAAGATCCCCCAAGCCACTGATAGGGGAAGGAAGAACCAATCTGCAACCATTTCTCTCACTCAACCACAAATATCCGTTCATTCCATCACTGCATAAATTCAAGGTGAAAGCTGAAAAATCAAATCCGTAAAAAAGAACAACTACAATGTAGAAACAGAAATAACCAACCTAGCATTCACGTCAACTGGCCAGGCCGATCGTTGACTAGGGTGCATTTGATTGAAAAAGTTGTAGTACGCGAAAATTTGTGGAGCCAATCTATTACGTGGAGATACGTATAACAAATCACACAAAACACGATTCCGAGCTTGCTCTTCAAACTGAAAAAAGAAAATCCTTACTTAATACCAGCATTTGAAAGAGAACAAAAGTTTTTTGCTTTGCAGAGCACTTGGAGCTGCAAATTGGCCTCAAGTGGCTAATAACCCTCTAGGATACAAAATATTCTGGAGGTAGTCCAATAGGATCGACAATTGGCAAGCCAACAAGACACAATGAAAACTAGTCCAATAGGATTAAAATAAAATAAAACCATCAAAGACGCTAATATGCAGTTTTGACAAACTTAGGGTCTGTTTGTTAGCAGCTTAATGAACTTAATATGACTCACAGCTTATTCGGTTAGCTATACATGACTGTTCGGTAGTGACTTATTCAGTAAGCTTCTAGGAAGGAGCTTTATGCAAAAAGCCAAGTTTTTCCAAACCTGCTATTCTCAATTAAAAAACATTCCATCTATGAGAAAACCCTTCCAAACAAAAACCTTCTCAATCTATACAGACAAATTAATCCACACCGAAAACTTTATCCATACAGAACTTAATGAAAAACCAACCAAACAGCCCCTTAGTGTTGCTTTATCATCAACTTGATCCCCTAATATGTACATGTCTAGAAGGTTCTCCAGTTCAGCAAATACACTTTGGAAATGCACAAGATATAACAAATGCAAGGACGAAATATAGCAAAATACCGAAAGCAAAATACCGAACTGTTAAAGTGTCCTCGAGCTTTCTCGTTTCAGTGAGTAGCTTCTTCTCGTCAATGAATGGCAATTTGGCTACTCCCTGTTTTCATGGTAAAAAAAAGAACAGAGGTCACAGAGTGGGTAAAACAGTTAAATTAAAAGCATACCTCTTCTAATGGAACAATGTTTGTTTGACAAACAAAATATTACCTGCCATGAAAAACGCTTTCCGTTCATGTCGATGTCAAAATCTACATATATACATATAAAGCCCAATGTCACTTTTATGGTTAATTTTCTTTTCTCATTCTACATTGGCATGTATATGGGATCAAATGGGTATCTAATTTTTTTGTAAGGAGAGGTCATATCTAAGATCAGACGTCCCCAAAGTGATACTTATTGCACTTATCATGGTACAAAGAATGATTCTTTATGTATATATTTTCAAGAATCAGTACAGCTCCTCATTCTCAACTGTGAGAGGAGCAAAGAAGTAGAAAAAAAGAGAAATGTGATCATATGAAAAAGGTGGAGAAAAGAAACACCTTTAAAACAATTAAATAGAGGACCTAAGATATGAAGACTAAAAGTTAATAGTGATTGAAATTACCAAGAGGGTAGAACTCGATTATAGGTGATGATGGATCATTCATCAGTTTTCTGTAATTGTCAGGTAGAGCACTTGAACTGTAGCATTAAGAACTCAATACCATCAGCAAATAACATATAACATAAACTAGTTTGGTAAGAGCACAGACTAGTAAGTCAGATAGACAAAAGATGATTAATGTAAGCCAAAAACATATGCTTGTAAAATACCTTGCAGCTGGCAGGGTTCCCATAAGTTGATCAAAGGGTTTAAATGGCTCTCCCAGGAAAAAAGTAATTTCCAAATCAGCTAAATCTTTAAGGTCAGAGGCAAATGGGGCATAATGATATGGATAATACCTGAAACAAAGGTCAGATAATTAACATAGCAAAGCATTGATGCTGCAAGAATATGAAAATTGGGTTGCTGCATAGGTTAATTATTTCAAAGCTATAGGCAGAAGGTGCAAAGCCCTTTTGAGTTGCTAACTTGCTCATCTTAAACAACCATGCTCTTTTTCCTGTTTGTCAATTGACAAAGAAGATGATCTAAAACTATATTACCACATAGGATGTAGGCTGGAAATCATTCAAGTTAGAACTCTAAAGTAAGAAAGAAGGGATGCTACTAATCTGTAATGTTAATTAGCGGCTGTATTTTTCTTCGCTTGAATATTTAGAAGAAATCTCATGTTATCTAACAGATGATTATATCCATGTCTTGCAAATTAAAATAGGAAAAACAGATGAACCGACAACGCTTAAGTTAACACCTAACATTAGAAATAGAATATTAACATTTAAACTAGAGTTTACAAGCTGCATGTATCTTCTTTGTTGTCAGCATTTCTATGTTTTCTTCTATATCATAAATGACATTCAATTGTCAAACATTAGTATATATACAACATACATTTTCATTGAAGCAGCTGGGTCCATCATGATCAAACCCATTTTAAAACATGACATCAAAAACTAGAATTAAAAATATTAGCATTGACAACATAATAAAATATTTAGTTTAAGATGACTCGGTATAAATATTTGGAACAATTGCTACTACTAAAATGATATATATCTAGAGAAACTCTATAAAAAACTTTCAAACTTCAAATACTATAAACATAATAGCAAAATCATCGAATTAACCTACCTAATTATCATATCAAACTAAAAAGTAGAAGAATAAATAACAAAAAGTAATGTCAACGCACTAAAGAATGCACTCCAATCACTACGATCTGGGCTTAAAGCACATAAAAGCATAGTTTATATGAACCCCTATGATCAAATATATACAAAGCTTTCTTGTAAACAAGTTCTACGTACCACAGCCAAGAACAGACGCCCTGATAGTAATATCGGCAAACCCAGCATAATCCTTCCACATAATGCAATACCTGCATAGGCAACTTATGATAAGGAGAACAATAATGTGTACACAATTAAAGGGAACTTATCGTTTACAAAATGATATAAGCTACAAGCACAGCTTGGTAATTGGTACATTTATTATTCTTTTCGGAATTATAAGAAAACGCATACTTTTTCTTTGGGTTGGCGTGTATCAAGTACAATACTTTATTTTGTTTCCCTTTATATTTTATGTACCTCACCACCTCCCCCTCCCCTGGTGCCAAAACAAAAAAAAACCATGGATTCCATCCAACTCATACTTTCTATAATTGCTTCCCAAATTCTCGTGTCAAATAAAAAAATTGGGAACAGCCGATTGGATCTTGTATCATATGCCACTATGGCAGCAACATCTATAAGCTGTGAACCCTCATCTCAAATGGACTTATGGAGAGACCAAATGGAACTCACCATTTCCCTCTTAACCTCTTCAACCTCCTTTGGATCTGACACATTTAACTTCTCGCGATAATACCTTTCCTTGTACCCAGGTTCCCCCAATTTGACCTGGAAAAAAACGGTTAGAATGCATAGCATCAGTGTATTAACTGATATCCAACTAGACTAGTAAGCACCAAGTAACCAAAAAATTGTGCAGAATAAGATGCTGCTGAACAAAGAAAAGACCTTACGTACACCCTCCAGTCGGCAATTAAAGCACATTTCGCAAAAAGGTCAGATACTTGTAATTGTGAGTGATAACTGTGACCCTTTTACCTTATTTTGGGCCCAAAAATACTTTATAGGTATGGCACATGTCAAATTAAACTATATTACTCCTTGATTCAAATATTGCTTTCTAAGAAAAAATAAAACATTGCATTCTGAATTATATGACGGACCAGGATGCTTAGAAATTGATACTGGATGAAGAAAAGGTAAGTTCATCATTCTACAGAAGTGGTTCAAGTCATTAACTGAATCCACCAAGTTTGTCCCTCATGCATTAGTCATTTAAAGAATAAATATCAAATCAGACATGTATCGTGGAAGAATGAAGAAATTGTTTCCTTCCAATGTTTTTCTATTGAAACTCCTATTGGACGCAATTTATTTCCAGATGTTAAGAACTCAATGGGACCTTCTCCTCAAATTAGACAAACAAAGAAGGGAATTGATTAATTTCTCAGGGGCAACGATCTAGGATCTTAATAAATGCAAAAAAGAAGCATCTTTCCGAATTAGTGGATGCTGCCAAAGGGAGTGGCGTAATTCTTAATTAAAGAGAGTACCTTGGGAATTTCTATTTCTATTTCTATTTCTAAATTCTAATTCTTTGAGCTAATATATTTATATAGTTTGAGGATTTGAAAGAGATTTCCAGAAGTCCAGCGAGATTTTGCGAAACACCTGTTCCACTTTTGGAAGACCTTGAGCTCAATTGGGGGAAACTTTTGAATTTCTTTTTATACAATTGTGACATTATCCTTGTTAGACCCATCCATTTAGAAGCACCTTAGGAGTTTGCTTAACCTGTTGTGCAGTTTCATAATGGTCTTGAAATCTATACTATCTTATAAATGAGATTTAACAAAAGTCTTAAAAATAAAATTTAATGCATTTGGTACTGCCTTTTACTGCATAAAGTCTTAAAAACAACCATTATTGCATATAGTACCACTTTTTAAAGCACAATTTTTTAAAACCTCTTAATTACAACAAGTTTATGCATAATATACAACTTATCAATGCTATATCTATTTATCTTCCCTACACGCACGTGTTGATGGTTTCCTTTCCAAAGCGACGATTTGATCCTCAAAATGACGATTCAAGCTCCCGGTGAATTCAAATATGATTACAAATGTGTTTAGGGTTCTTATTGATATCGTTCATCTTCCGATTCGCTCCTTATTCCAATGTCGATCCATCACTATCCGAATCGAGGTAATTTCTTTTGTGGTTTAGGGTGGGTTTGTTGTTCTTTGAGTTTTCTTGTGGTTTACAGTTTGATTTCACTTATGTTTATTAGGGGCCGATGTGTTGTATATTTTTTTACTTCAATTCATTTCACTTGTGTGTGTTAGAGTTCGATGTTTTGTATGTTTTTTTTTACTTTAATTCATCTCTGGTACTATCCTGTTCTTTTTCCTTCCATGTTTTTTATATTCTTTTGCTATTGTGTTGCTCATCATGTGTTTATTAAAAGTCCTCAAAGAGAGGTTTAGCATTTAACAATTTTCCAACAATTTTAAACTGTACCCATGTAGCAACCAGATGTTGGAGTTTTTCCTTTTCAATATTAGACTGAAATTCACTTTATAGACTTCATCTTTCATCTTCGCTTTTATGATTTTTCATTTTCATCTTTTGCTTGATTCAATGGTGTAATCTTTTTGTTCTGTTGGTTGAAGTCCCAAGAAATGTAAAAACCAAGTTCTTCATTCTAACAATGATGCAGGAACATTGTCCCCTTTTGAGCATGGAGGAGAGATGGGTAACATATTGATGCCAACATCACTATACGGTAACATCCAATTTATTCTATTGCATTTTGGTTTGAATTTGATTTGAATCTCCATATCAATCTGAAGAAGTAACTTTTCATCTCCAGGTAAGATTTTATTTAGTTTCGTTTGAATTTGGTTTTGAATCTCCATATCAAATTGGTTTTTATTTTATTTTATTGTGGATGGTTCTATAGGACTGAGTCATATCAATATAAATAAGTAACATTTCATCACCTTGTAAGATTTCATTTAGTTCAATTTTGGTTTCATTCCAAGTAGAGTTTAAAATTGGTTTGCTTTTTACTTTGAGATTCTTAATTTCATTCAGTTTTAGTATTTCACTTCAGAGTTGCACCATCTACACGGTAGAATAAAAGCTTCATCTTTCATTAGAAGCTCTGTTTCTCAGGTACTTGACTAAATCACAAGCAATAAAAGACATCAGACACACAATGTGCACCCATTATTCCATACAACAAGATTAGTTCTTAAGCCAACAGAACCACCATTGTAATTCATAACTTCGTTTAAAAAAGCAACATAGTTCCTCAAACAATAAAGAAAGATTAGTCAAAATTCTGAAGGGCGTCCCTCGTTCATTAAGGTTCCTTAAGGCAACTTTGTATGTGTTCTCCCTTCTATAAAAGCAATAAGCTTAATTCCATGACATGAGTAACAAAAAGTACATTACTGTGATAGGTCCCAGATAAGAATTACTTATAGTAGGTGAAGGAAAAGGGCGGACGTGGAGACTAATGTAAACTGAGAAGAGAGGGAGGGAGTTGTAAATTGACAAGTGGGTCGTGGAGTAAGGTAATATGTTAGGGAAAAGAGTATAAAATAAAGAATAACAGAGAGTGAGGCCTGTAGAATGGAGTAACAAAACTGTAAGCTTCAGCTGGAGAGAACAAGCCTCTCGATTGGTTGCTATTTTCATATTCCTCTTTATTTTAAATATAAACCTACCCCAAAATGTTTCATACTTGTTTGCTCTAACGGCTACTACCCCACCACCCACCCACGGCAACAAGGTTAATTTTTCATTGGCTTAATTTGGGTTTCAATACCTTTTTGAAACAATTATTCAACATTCTTTTATTTGATGTTCCAATATCAAGACAAAGTTGCAATTTTACATGTTTTTTGTTTCAGTTAGGGTCTGCAATTGGCTACTTATCAACTCATAGGGAATCTTAACCATGGAGAAGGTTGGGCTAATTCTAAGGTCTGACTGTTAAAGTTTCCATTTTTCATATAGGACATATTGGGTGTGAAGCCACATGTTTCTTTCAATTGCTTGCAAAGTTAGAGTTTAGGGTGATGTTGTTGTTAGGGAGACGGTTGGAGGATGACAATCTTCATCTTATCATCTTGGATATGATGTTGCCGAAGGTCTCTTTTTTCACTTACACTTGGACATATCATTCTTGATATGTATTCTAATTTGTTTGGCCTCTATATTTGCTTCTTGATGTATGTTCTGATTTTTTTGGTCTTCATTTATATCTTCATTTTCCGTTTTCATTTCACGCAGCATAGAGTTTCACAAGTTATTTTTGCTTCTTGGTGTTCGCTTACTCAGGTAAGTGAACACAAAGTTATTTTACCTTATTGGATGAATATCTTAAGGATCAAAAATCTTACCCGGTAAGAGTTAGACAATGACCAAAAGTCTTACCCGGTAAGCGCTTACGGGGTAAATTGTTGCATACGATACAGTTTTGGTGGACGAAAATTTTATCCGGTAAGTAACTGATAGTGTTAAACTTACCGGTAGGTAAGTGCTTACTGGGTAAATGTTTGGTAAACGGCCCCTAAATCTCCAACTATGATTATTTATTTTTATCCTGACAGTTGTCCCCAATGGTTTTCATTTATAATTTTCATGATGTTTTTGGTATATTTTAAGAGGGGGTGTTTTTTAAAGCAATGAAATCCTTTCCTCTAAGTTATAGTACATGTTCTGGAATCTGTTCTCAACTAACTGATCTTGTACCAATTGTCCCTTTCTTTCTGATAATGGTGGCCTTTACTTTTGTTAGCTTGAGTTGTTGATAATGTATGTATTGTTGCTTGTATTCTTTCTGCTTATGGGTTCTGTTCTATGCTGGAACTTGTAGATACATACTGTAAATATATGAACTGATGCATCTTTTGATATGTTATGTTTCCATAAGGGTGTTCTTTTGTAACTTTTGGAAAGAAAGCAGTTTGAAGGCACCAACGGTCTGTTGTATCAGTTTTTATTTTACTTTTACTTACTGCATGAGTTATTAGATCTTATCTTTTGAACTTTGAACACGGTTGGTGTATTCAAGATATTGATAACCTTTCAAATGGGAAAACTATGCCTATGAATAAGCATAAACAATCCTTCTGGCAATGGCTTCTCCTGGTGCAACAAGTATAATGTATGGACATCTACACCTAATGGAAACAAGAAGCTCAATAGTGCCTGTGAAGAGACTTCAAAGGTTTTCCTATCTTCCCCTTTCTCTCTGTAAGTTAATAGTATTAGATTTCTATTTTTTTGACAAGCTGTTGATGAAATTATATTTCTTTTTGTTTGACAAGTTATTGATGAAATTAGATTTCTTTTTATTTGACAAGTTATTGATGAAATTACGTTTCTTTTTGTTTGACAAGTTATTGATTTTCATCAATACATATTACTCTTTTAGATGGTACATAATCCACTGCAAAATTCAATTTCAAATTCATGTTTATATATTTATGTATAATGTATATATGTACGTATGTATACCTTCATTCATCCTTTCTTAGGGGCCGTTTACCAAATTACCCGGGTAAGTGCTTATCAAGTAACATTATCTCACCGCCTAAATATGGTAAAGACCAAGAATCTTACCCGGTAAGAGCGAGAAGAGAACCAAGAGTCTTACCTGAAAATTGAGGGCGATGACTCTTACCACAGTAAGCGCTTACCGGGTAAATTGTTGCATACGATGTCGTTTTGGTGGATTAAAATTTTACCCGGTAAGTAAATAATAGTGTTAAAATTTTATCAGTAAGCACTTACCGAGTAAGTGTTTGGTAAACGGCCCTTTACTGCTATTAAGGGAGTAAGGGATATTGGTGTTTTCAAGATCAAATGTTGCATTGTTAATTCTCGAAGTCAGCCGATGTATATTTTTGAAATAAATATTAATCGAATTACTTAAAACATTTCTTTATCAAGTAAATTGGCAATTTTAGAGGCACAACTTTTATAAAAAGATCACATTGTTATGCAAACGATCACATTGTTATGCAATGATACAATGTGCTAGGTAAAAGTGCAACTATCTTTGGATTCACATCACATTGTTTGGAATTGCATTTTGTAGAGATACACATTTTGCACACTTTTGTTCATATATTAAACTTTGGCCAATCCCATGTCCTGATACAATGGATTTAGTTGTCTTTCCATGTTTGTATTTTTCTTCAATTCCATCTTTCTAACTTTGTAGTTTGTCCATATTTCTTGATGCTTATCGCTTATTTTATATATTTCATTTTCTTATTGAGTTCAAGACAGACCAAGAAAGGAAGCATGATGTTGAACAGTCATTTACGGGATACTAGGCACGTTCTAAAGGCTCCATCTAATGTWGTCCAATTTTACTTGGAAGTCTAAACAGGCAACATGCATGTTTTTTAAAGAGTTTTGATTGTTTATTTGAATTTTGATGGCATAGTATCTAAACCGTTCTTGACAATATTTTTTGTCTTTCTTGCAGTTTGATTTTTTCAATGCCCTTGACAAGACAAGACGTTCTTAGTGACAAGAATTATTTTCAATATACAAGATGTGGTAAAACAGACTTTATAAAATTATACCATAAACGTTGTACCTTAACTTTCGTAAAGGGTGGCCCGTGACCTTACTTGTAATATCTTGTGTGACCTTACTTGTAATATCTTGTGTATTTGTTGCAGCAAAAAGAATAATACCATTGGCTGTAGGAGAGCATCAAAGCAACTTAAACATTGGGGTATGAAAGTATGTTATTTGTTTATTATGGCTACCAACCGACATTGATAAATTTGGTCTTTCTGTCATTTGTTTGGTGCATTAACTTTTGGTTATCTTTGATAAACCATCTGAAAATTGAAGTAGTATTGAGGTCCAGGAATAGACGTACCCTGTTACATCAAATATCCCATCAATCTCACTATGACTATTATATTTGTATATAAGAATTTGTATGATTTATTTACTGTTACAACCATCACTTTGTATATAAGAATTTGTATGATTTATTTACTGTTACAGCCATCACTTTGTATATAAGAATTTGTATCGTTTGTTTACTATTTAAGAAAGTAAATAGCCTTCAAATCTTGCTTCCTTCTTCTGCAACTGCGAGATCTAATGTTTGTATTTCTCTTCAAGTGCAGACGCATCCAGTTTTTTTAGACCGATCGTGTCTTCCATGTAAAGTTTGGTCTATGATGAAGATGTTCTTCACTATAGAATCCAAAATGTGGCCGTGGATGTAGGTTGAACATCCTCTTGTGTTATGGATTGTTATAGAGTCAAATATGGTTTTGTTGTGAGTTGGGTTGTGGGTAAATCTTCTTCTATGCTTATCATTCTTTCTATGTAAATGTTCTTATTTAAACAACTTATGATTAATGAAAATTTATAGTTTTTATGCTCTCCAATCTATTGCCTCTTTTAACATAATTAGATTATATTGGATTGATGTTGTAATTAGATTATAGTTTGTTTTATTCGATTTGTACTATCATACATTTTTTATTGATGTTGTAATTGGAACCATAGCTTTTATTTATTGGAAGAAGTATTAAGTTGCATAGACTAATTGCAAATCCTATCATCCTAATGTTTTAAAGTCTACTTACAAAACTACCATGCTTCAAAATCATTTGCATTCATCGTTTCCGCCGCATTACGCGGGTAGACAACTAGTTATATAATAATGGAAACAGCAAAGGCAGAAGGGAGCTTGACTGCAAGACCCACAGTTCCTATTTGGAAGGCTGCAATTTCTCAAAAGTTTTAGCTGTTCCAACAAATTTTTTTGAATTGAAAATTTGCTTACATACTATGGTTAGGAATGTGGTACATAGAAATAATAGGGTAATTTTTTTCTTCCCCTTACTACGAGTGAAAGGGAAAATGTAAAATAAAAATTCTGGTTGTGCCCCAAAAATGCGAGTGTTTTTTATTCCATTGAGCAAAGACGGTTTTCTCAGTTCCGGTTCGCCAAATCTGAAAAAACCCAGAGGTTATTTGTATAAGCGAAGAGCCTGAACCAAGATTTCCAGGTGGGCTGGGTAAGGAATTTTATTAAAAATGGAAGCGTATTGCAGCAAAGGCTTGTCAAAAAGCGTTTGAATAAAGAATTCAGAAAATGTAAATTAAAATAAGCATCCGAATAATCAGGGAGCGAACTCCGGGAGAATATGAAGCGCTAACCAAGCGTCACCTATTGGTTCTATACCCAATTCATAACTAGATAAGTTGGAAAGAAGTTGTTAATAATAGATTCAATTCCTTTGAGTTTCATTCTAGCGAACTAGATAATTTGATTGGGCCGAATCGCAGCATAGAAGTTGATTTGATATGAAAAATCAAAGGGAAGCCAACAGTTTTTTCCTAGCTCAACTATAAATGGCTAGAATATATACATATTACGACTGAAAAACCTCATACAAGTTATGAGAATTTATCTTGAATAGAAATCTAGCAGACAAAGGTTTTCTGATAAAAAGAAAACATAAAAGCAACAGATGTCACCTAACGCTTTATTCAGATGTCCTATTTTAATTGCTTTTCAGCTTCTGCCTTTCTCTTGTGTTATAGTGAAGCAACTTGCCCACTTGCTTCTCATGTTTTTCTTTTAACTTCTACATGCCCATGTACATGTTTTTATGTTAACTAAAATTAAATAAGGCAGTATTTCTTACAATTATACAGAATTACACCCTCTAACACTAAGACACTGCTCAGCTGTGATGTTTATATTTCTTCACAGTTTGTCTTCCTAGAGGCATATAAGCATCTTGTGAATATGGTTTAAGACATAACAGAACATTAAGCAAATTTACAAGAATCACAATTTCAGAGAAATTTTTATAAAAAAGAAAAAAGATGTGGAGAAGTTATTGTACCTTGTCCACCACTGGAGCCGGAGGCTCCTCATCAACCTCTTGTCTTGCTTTACGTCTCATCTCTTCATTGTACTCGTATGACTAAATTAAAATAACCAGCATAAACTTTACCATCAACTATACCCCGTATAAGAAATATAAATAATACATCATAAGAGTGTGTGCGCGTGCAGGGGTGCGGGTTCAGATTTTCAATTCACCTTCTGTATGCGGGCCCGCTTTTGAAATATTTGGTCTTCATGAACTGCAACTGCCTGAATAAAATGCTCAACTCTGTCCAGCAAGACCTGAAATTCAGGTGTTGGTATACATGCAAAGTGAAGGATTCTAGAATATGGTTACAGCCATTTACAATCAAGCCAGCTAGCAAAAATTATTATCCAAGAAGCATAAATCGCAAGCAGAGATGACAATTACAGATCATTACATATGCTAGAACATGTGGATTCTAGAATATCGTTACAGCCATTTACAATCAAGCCAGCTAGCAAAAATTATTATTCAAGAAGCATAAATCGCAAGCAGAGATGACAATTACAGATCATTACATATGCTAGAGCATGTGCTTGTTCTCATGAACTCGTACACAATAAACTTGCAAATATAACTTCACTATACTTCTGAGCCACAACTCTGCTGTATAATTGTTACTAAATGTAAAAGAAATGGTAAATCAAAGTCACCTAACGCAGCGGCTTCTAGCAGCCAATTTTGTTAACACATCTACTGCTTCCATCCCATGAGCCTAGCCAAAATAACATCCAAAATTGACAAGCATCACCCTCGAGACTTGTTTCACACTATTCTTCTACTTATTTGTGCAGATATGGTGATATACAATTATTGTGAATCCTTGATCACCATGTCCTTGCCATAGTTAGAAGCTGGTTAAACCACATAATTGATGAACTCGGTAGTAGCAGAAGATTTTGAAAGCTTGATTAAGCTGTCCATTTCCATGAGAAGTAGGTGTTTGAAAAGGATACTGTGTACACACAAAATTTCATTTGTGCAGACTTCACACATCTTTAAGAGTGGAGATGTCTAATGATCGCCTCTACTAGAAAATGAGATAACTGTGTTAGGCAAGGTCGATGCCACTTTTTAAGTTTAAATACTAAGACCTTTATTTCTGCCTAATCCCATGCCCCAGAACAGATCAACCCACCTAGCACATATGAAGCAATAATATCCTTCAAACACCCTTGACCAAACAAAAGTGAAGCGAGCTATGGTAGGCTATTGAGTTTTCCATCATACCTACTATGGGAAGGGTCCATACCTGGCAAACATTTCAGGAAAAACAATAAGAAAAGCAGGCAACTTCACAAGCCAGCTAATTCTTCAGCGAGTCGCAAGAGGCTGTGTGCAATTGGAACTGTTAACTGGACAAAAACAACGGATCACTCGCAATGCTTCAATATCCCCATTAATAATATTCTTCTGTAATAAAGGAATTATAGATAACCCAACTCTTCACATAGGCAATAGAAACTCTTAACTGAACTTGGGGAACAAGAAAACTATCCTAATTTTTTTATCAGTAAGAAACTAATGTACATCAAGTTCAACCCATTTCCAATGTCCATATTCCTACTCCTTTTTTTTCTCAGGTTCTACACCATTTTTTTCTCTCTTTTTTTCCATCGTCTACACTCTAGAGTACCTCCAGATGAAGACCAACTTTTGGAAATTGAACTCATTTTCATATTCAAGAAAATATTGTTGAAAAGATCATCAAAAGACTTCCTCCGAGCAAAATGACATTGTCTATGGAGAGAAAGAAAGCAAAACTCCATCACAATGAGAAGATAGCCAGTTGTTGTGGGTTTCAGTGTATGTTATATTGCATATCATACAAAACATATGCTACTCTGTGGGAAAATAATAACCCAGTCCTTGATCTTCTGTAAGCACCAGATGTAATTATTTGTACTTGCGAGGGGGAGAAGAAAATTTTCCTATTTGTATACGCCTGAACTTCAGGAGCTTCAATGGCTAATTTCCTACTGTTTAAAGAGACATTCTCGTGTTGATATGTATCTCCTATCATGTTCAGAAGTTTTTTGGCAGGGCGTGTACCACCTTTTTTATTAGCTTGCTGTATAGCATACAAGAGTATGCCAACGGTCACACCTGCTCATTTGTTTATATTATAATTGATTTAAGAAGAAGATCAAAGGTGATTAGTAACATTAAGAACGTATCTCACTCTGTTACTTTACATTTTACCTTTTTTTCCTTGCTAGGAGCTACCTAAGATCTTCCTTCCGATTCTATTAGGTCTAGATTTCTATTATTATTTTATGCTATTACATAAACTGATCCAATTTCTCATCATTATAATATAAAACAATTATATCGTTGTTTTGTGTGTGAACTCAGCCCTAATGACCAATCCTTTGAGAGCTGCAAGGGTAGTTTGTATTTCCCTTTCAAAGATGTTGGTCTTATCATCCCAATTCCCACCCATGCCTTTTCCTATCACGTTCTATGTCAACCACCGACACAATTATGATTAGCAAGTTCAAGTACAAACAAGACACTTAAACTACCTGTAACATTAAAAAAATTAAGATATAACAAGATAACACTCTAACAGAACCGTCTAGATCACTAAAAATTCTATTCGTTTACAGCAGCCAGTCAAAGAAAACAAGAACAAAGAACACTAAGGGGCTGTTTGGTTCATGCTGGGGAATGAAACTGGCAATGAAAATGAAAATGGGAATGAATTTTCATTCCCCCAGTTTAATCTGGAATGAATATTTGGGCTTCTGGAGGAATGAGCCCATTATATTATATAATACCAAACAGTTCCTTTTATTTTCATTCCCATTGATTACTGCTTAATACCTCTAACCAAACACCCCCTAAGATAGTGGTACAACATCATAAACAGGATATAATCGAGATTTTTAAAAAAAATGAACATGGCAAACTCAAAGGAACATAATTTCAACAAGTTGCCAAAAGAAGGCACAATTACCTCTCCCGAGTCAGTAAGATAACCACCCATCGCAGCAAACTCTCTTCTATAGATTTGCATCAGCAGATTTATGGCACCCTAGATTAGCAAAAGAGAAACAAGTACATATCTATTAGCAATACATAGAATGACACAGAAACAGTGCAGCTGGACAGTAAGACTTCCTTTAGCAATGGAGGAAAATGAGGAGGGTTTGTGAGTTTATTTGTTCTATTTGCCGTATATAAATATTATATACTTTAAAAAAAGAGGTAATTAAGCTAAGATAGGAGCCAGATAGTTTTTAGCAAGGTAAATTCACTAGCCCGTAGGAATGTACGACAAGATTACCAATAACTTTAATTTAAGTACGGAAAGTTTAATAATGTTATGTTTCTAATAGCCAATTCACCAAAATAAATTTACAACCGGCTATGTGTAGTAAGGGCAATGACCAACGAGCATGTTTTCTCAAAACCTTCAAGCAGTCCTGTTAGTTGCAGAGAGGAAGGCATATTTTACAAAAACAACTCACCACCTTGAAAGAAAGTATGACCTGGTTTTGATTTTGTATATGAATGACGAGCATTTTGGTCAAGTAATGGCAAGTGCTAAAGGTACAACTAAATCATCACACTCACTTTCAATTATAATTTTCAATTTCTCTATAAACTTACACTCATATCAAACCATCTTACATAATAGAAAGAATATAATCAGTATATCATCACAAATCACTTCCCTGCCAGCTGCACATACCTCTCGAATCTCTAGTGTTGGCATATGTGGAAGAAAGTCATTGCCCACAAAAAAGCAGAGAAAAACAAAATCATCCACCAGTCTTTCCAGGTTGACCTCAAAAGGAGGACTCGGAATCTCCAAATCATATTGCAAATATTCTCGCAACACCCAGATGTTGAGGAACTGCCGACAGAAAATCGAAAGACATGATGAGGCAATAATTGCAAAACAGATGGAACTGGCATCTTAAAAGTAAAGGTGTCAACAAGAAAGCTATCAGAATTTGACCTGATATTTCTTTTTGTGAATTGGGATATCCTTTAAAGCCTTCCCATTCACAGCAGAACCATGACACTCAGCAGCTAGATGACCTACTTTTCCACATTGAAAACATTTCTCCTGCTGCCCAGGCAGTGTGATCACCTGTACAACTAAGAAGGTTAGAATAACTCCCCATGGAAATAAAACAATAATCATAAATGACAGCTTCAGCATCCACATTACATTATTTACTAACCTCCCTCAATATTGAGAAGTGAACCTCATGAGTGGCTAGAGCCAGCATAATAAGATCTGCATCCTACCAAAATAAGCCACATAATTTGGTTACGAGCTGGAAGATGGGATAAACTGCACTTCTTTACGATAGAAACACTAAAAATGACAGATGAAGGAGATGGACAAGATAGTAAAACGGATTCGTCAACTCACCAATCCATAGAGGCAGTGTCGAGTGTTAGGATTGAAACCAGGAAGGTTACGCTGTAATCGAATAAACGACATTACTTTGTGCTCTCCCTCACCAGGAACATTCGAGTCGGAAAGAATCACCTTCAAATAAATACCCAATGCAGCCACAAAAATAAATTAAGGGAGAACAAAACTAACAAGAAATGGAAAAGTATATTGAAAAGAAATTTAACAGGATACTCCAACAGGAATAATATTCTCCAAAAGAAACTGCAAGGTGAAAGATCCTCAATAAACCTTTGTATACTGCCAACCAGGATTGTGATTCAATCTACATTGTATAAAATACTGAAGAGCTACAGAAAGCACAGACATAAACTGAGTGCCAGGAGTGATGACATTTGAATCAGATGTTTCAAGCTTCTCTTTAGGAGCAAGTGCAGCTCCCTGAGCTTCAAACTCATTTCTCAACCTCTCCTCTTCAGCTTCCTAAATGGAAAAAAAGAAGCAAAACTAAGTTAATTACTTAATGTAGTTATTAGCTCAACCACTAGAATAAAAACAGAAAGAAAAAAAAAGCTCACTGCTTCAGCGGCATCTTTAGCAGCCCTAAAACGGCGAGACCTCTGTTGATTCATTTTGGCTCTGGGAGCCACACCGTCTGCAAAAATTGGAAGTGCATGCAGATGATATCTAGTTCAACTTGGAAGACAGATTAGAATATTGCAACTTAATAGCTTTACTTACCTATTGCCATGTACAGAATTTTTCTAGGCCGCACCAATGAGAAGAGATGATCAATGTAGTCAAATATTGACTTAAATACTTCGTCATATGTAGCCGGACCAGGCTGCATTACCAGAAGTGCAAGTGTCATCAGTAATTTCCAGATACTAATTAGAGGTATGCATTGGCGTTCTCAGGGAAACAAATGGGAGGTCTAGCACTTGAAGCTTCAACATTGCAGTTCTATACTACTAAGTGTTTAACGTAATGATTTCTATTCTCACAAAAAACACAAAAGAAATGGTAACACAATAGCAAATTACCGAGTAGAAAGACTGAAAGACATTACACCTTATGTGGCATATCTAGCATGACCTTGTTAAAATTCTTGTAAATCATTCGCTAAATAGCTATAAAGACATGCAACTCCCAAACAGAATTTTTACAGATTCCTCTCTTTTTAACCCACATCACACTCGTGGACCAATTTCAACATATACATCACATCTAGGGACCAAAACTTGCCCTTTCTAGCTTACATTATAGAAAACCTGACTGTTGAAGAGCAGTGAGGATAGAAAACCTTGGCTTAAGAGGAGACATGCCACTCCTGTTAAATTTTTAACAGAACTTCACTTCTACTTGAGAATTTCTAGACTCACCAGGAACTTCTGTAATACACAACAACTATGTTCCAAAATAGTAAACTTTACTTTGCATTCCTTTAAAAATAAGCCATTGACTGTATATAGCTCACTGCTTCAAGAGTTTTGTCTAGCAACCTTAAAGATGGGAGAAATTATGTCACACCGAAAATTTTCAGGGCCCATTTGTCTAGCATGATTCTTTTGTAGTCTTTAGTGTTGTTTTCCGCAAAGCATCGGTTCAGGAGTTCCGTATCTTCTCTTACAGCCATTTTGAGGAAATATATCCAAATTTAAATGTCGGACAGGCCACATGTCTAGTTTGGAATTTGTTCTTTAGGAAAAGATGTTATATTAAGAGGGCGTGTCCAGCCTGCTAACCAATGAGTCACCATGAAGTATCTCACTCCTATCTTTTAGCAGAAAATCAGATAATGCTACTCCCATATGCTAAAAGAGTGTCTTAGGTGAAAGTTAGGTAGAAAACATAAAAATTTGGGTGAAGTACCATGCATCAAAGGGGCCCTAACTTTGAGAGGACTTTGGTGATGTAGAAGAAGATTATAAATAATAAAGAATTTGGGTACAGAGTAAACTACCTAGGCAACAGCAGAATCCTAGGATCTTTTGAGTAATGCTCTGAAGATAATTACACTAATTCAATGTTAAATCATTTAGTAAGGAAAATTTTGGTGACAATAATAATGATCCCTAAAGAAACAAAAGGAATGGTGTTATACAGAGCCAACTACCCAATCAAAATTTTAAGCGAGTTATATGAGACACCGGACACAAATGAACATAACAATAAGATCCTAAAAGAGGTATATGCCACCCTTTGGAAGGCAGAAGGCCTACACTGCACCAGTCCCACAGCCATCATGGGGGAACTGTAAATCTTAGCTCAACAATGAAAGGAAAACAGAGACTAAGCATGATCCTAACCCCAACTGTAGCCGAGAGCGAAGTAGGTAGTTTCTCTTCTTTTTATGCATTTTTTACTTTCCATTGACAAAAGTGGTGTTTTCATGAGTAGAAGTAAGCTATATTGTGGCATTTTTTATGGTTGAACTTATGTTTATCAACGACCCTTGTATCATTGTTTCTTGTAGTTTCAGTCTGTGTCTCACTGTTACATGCATGTCATATATTATGTAAAATAATAATGGCAGTGGGCTTAACTCCATCCCCACCCTTCACTAGCATATGGCCAAAAGTTCATTGCAAGTTCCAAAAGCGCACACGGAAGTGAAAGGATACAAGTACTAGCTAACACTCAGCAGCAACCTTTCTAATATCTGCAGATCTATGTTACAATTGTAATAATAAACTCCGGAAGTCATGTTTCACAAACAGTACAACATTCTGTATTTTCCTTATATGACCAATAAATTCTCAAAACCATTTCATGTCCATCCTTCAAACGATCAGCAAAGAAAATCATGTGATAAGTGGAGTACTTTACACAAGAAAAATAGTTCGACAATTAAATAGCCATGTAACATGGCAAACATCTCAAATGTGCAAAGACTTTCTACATTTGTATTTCGGTAAAGTGATCCACAAATTAGGCTTGATAGTGCATACCATTTATTCTTTGCATTACAGACCATAAAAGGGAACATATCCATATAAGTAAAGGTAGCCCCTATGCAACTAGTTTGGATAAAAGGCTTGTTATTGTATAAGTCAATTATGTTAATATCTCATCGCTTAAGCAATTCTTGCTAAAGCATGGATCTAAAATAATGCCGTTCCTACATCCAAGTCCCTATACTATAATAGAGCTGAATCAAATGGGCCGTGATCCAACAATATGCATCAACCATGTAGGAAACAGAAGATGCAAAGAGAAGAAACCTTGACACTTCCCAAAAGTTAATCCCAAATAGATGTACCGAAATAAGTAACTAGAGCCTTTTAAAAGGAGCACATGATCTTATTGATCCCTATCCTGCCAATTAATGTATTCTACTTAAACACTGGTCTCTGGTATCTACATTATAGTTAGTATATGAAGTCCCTCTTCCATCAAATATTCCTTGCTCTGAAAGTACCATAATATGAACAACTTGATGACTCCTGTATTTTATTCACCTTGATGTAAAAAATTCAGTACTATGCATTTATTTACTTGAGATTTTTATTATAAGACTATATAAAACAGAAGCAACCAAAATCTTTTTGCAACTGGAGAAGAAAGTATGACGTCTTTTTTACCAGAAGTCATCATGTCATCCCCAAAAGCTAGTATAAACCTTAAAAGCTGAAAAACCAAACAAACTACATTCCACACAGTCTGTCAAATGGAGCACAATTGCATTCAATCATCCTCGTTAAGAAGATGAGCTTAGAAACAAAAAACAAAAAGAAAAACGAAAAGAAAAGTCAAACTGGATTGGTTGTGACTAAATGCAAATAGTAGAGTCAGATTTAACAAAATCCATCAAATTTTGCATTTGGAAGGTACTGGTTGAGCTCGATATAGCTACTCTTTTCGGAAGTGGGCAAAATAATTTAAGAAAACAAAGTATATACCTTTCCTTCGGGGTGAAAACAGGGGTGGATAATCCCATTCATGTCCAGGTACAAGTTATCAAACTCGATGTTGTTAGGGTTCGGCCTTAGCAATTCAACCTCGTTTCCCTCGACAGCTTCTTCCTCCACGGCGTCCGATATTGATTTAGGGTACCGGTCAGCCAACCACCTGTAAAACGCCGGCACACCCATTGATCTTGCTTTTCAAACTTTGCTAGTTGTCTGTGTTGCTCTGCTCGCTCAATGTACGTATGTATTGTGGGTTCTTGAAGAAACAGAAGGCCAATCAACAAAGAATTGTGTAAACGCCCAAAACCTAACTTGATTGACCGACTTTTGTCAGATAAAATTGGGTTATCCGATTTGTAGGTTTGCTTTACCGATCCTGACGGAACATGAAATCTAATCGACATAGAATCACGTTAACTGAAGACAACCCCCACCCCCCTCAAGATTCATATATGGCCCATACAACCCCCTTAAGTTTTGAAAATGACAATTTCTATCCCATTCAAATACTTTTCCGACCTGTATACTAACCTGCTATTCGTTTGCCTCTTAATAGGTTCTCCTGAATCGCTAAGAGGTAAATCATGTTTGATTAAAAAAAAAACGATCAAGTCTGATTGACCCATTTCAATCCCAATATTTTGACAAAGAAACCAAATATACGTAGCAGAGGTGCACAAAAACCCGACTAACGCAAGTCAATTGATACTTAATCGAGTTGTAAAATCTTCAAACTGTATCTATTGAGTTGGAATCTATTAAAGTCATTTAAACTCAACTCAACCTGAAAAATCTAATACCTTCTATTTATTAAATTTAATATAACTGTTCACTTTTTGATTGATATATGTATATTATACATTAGACCAAAACTTTATGCATAAACATATCATTATTCGAACTGCAAATTTACTTTCTTATTTTCATGAACCTTCAACTTTATTTTTAGTGTTGGTCTGATTTTTTGTATTCCTCATGTATCAAAAAGTCTATTAATTTGTACTAGTTAACGGTGGTTGTTTAAGTATGCTATTGTAGTGAGGTTATGTTACAACTCAACCAACCAAACTCGCATTGTTTTTTAACAGATTGAAATTTTCAAATCTGACTGGTTGGGTTGGGTTGTTAAAAATCTTTCAGATGGGCCCACCCAATATATGTAGCCTTAATACTTAAGACCAGTGTTTAGGCCTAGTCATGGCTTTTCGCCTTTACAACTGGTTAGGCTCGATTAAGGGTCGATATTTGAATTATAATTTGTATATACTTTGTAACAGTTCTATTATGTATCGTTAACAGTACAAAATTTATTTTTATTTTATAAAATCTACTTTGAGTTTTTTTATAAAGTCTGAAATGCATGAAATAGCAACTTACTTTTACAGATTTTTTTTATTATAGCATTATACCTTCAGTTTTTCTTATTACAGCAATGTACTTTCAAAATGTTTTTTAATAGGGCATTGGGTAACATTTTAAATTAAATTTACTCATTAAACCAGGTTTCTTTGTCGCCTCATCGTCCACGTAGGCTGTCCACGTGTACGATAGTGATGACATGATATTTTTTATTATAACATTGTGCCATCAAAATTACTTTATTATAACATCACCAATTTCTATTACAACATTATACTTTTAATTTTAATATTGTTTTCATTCAAACATTGTAAATTTAATCAAATATATTTACTAAAAGTTATGATATTAAATTGTATTGGTGATGCTTGTATGTTTAGCTATTTTGATTTGTTTGCAGAGTTATAAGAGAGAGTAACGGTAAAAATATTAAATTTCATATATTGTTTGATATATTATTGCAGATATGTTAACGCTAAAAAAAGTTATCGATTTGGGTGTCTTTTGCTTTCTATAATAAGTCAAAAAACAAAATTAAAAAAAAAAACGATATTATAATCTCAAATAATATTTATTATAATTTTTAGTAAGCATATCAAATTAAATTTACAATGTTTAAATGACAAAAATATTAAAATTAAAAGTACAATGTTGTAATAGAAATTAGTGATGTTATAATAAAGTAATTTTGAAAGTACAATGTTATAATAAAAAATGTCATGTCAGTATTATCATACATGTAGACAGTCTACGTGGACGATGATGTGGCAAAAAAACCTGGTATAATAAGTAAATTTAATTTAAAAGGTTACTCAATGTTATAATGGGTAAAATTTTGAAAATGCGATTCTCTAATAAAAAATATTTTGAAGGTACATTGTTCTAATAATAAAAACATAAAGTAGAATGTTATAATAAGAAAATTTGTAAAAGTAAGTGGTTATTTCACGTATTGTGCCCTTTTTTAAATACCAAAGTTATAGTTAAATATTATTTATTAAAATTTAAATTTCACATTAATCAGTTTAATTTCAAACACTTAAAATAACTGTGGATTATAGGTACAAAAGACCTCTTTTAAATAGTTAGTATGAATGAAACAATCAAATATTAAAATAAAATAAAGACAAACTTAATCCAGTAGGTTGAAAAACAATTTTCTACCATGACGGATCTTGATTCAATATTCAAATTGAATCAGTCGGTTTTCGGATGGTAGTCTAGAACCAACCAAAATTGAACCGAACCGATCAACATCTAAGGGGCTGTTTACCAAATTTTCTATTAAGTCCTGTATGGATAAATTTGTCTGTCTGGATAAATTTGGCTGTCTGGATAAATTTAGGTTGCTGTTTACTTTTCTATCTGAATCAACAGTCTGAATAACAGAAATGACCAATTTACCCCTGAGTATTAACTATGAGCTGTTTAGTATATTGTTGTTCATTTTTTTAAGGCAAATGATATTTCTGAAAAATAAAATATTTAAATAACAAAACATAAATTCATAAATCCAAATATTTGTTAAGACCTAAGACCGAATCGAGCAGCAAGAATCGAACAGCAAAAAATCGAACAGGTATGGAACAAATGTGATAAGACCTAAGACCTAAAAATAATCGAGCAGCAAGAATCGAACAGAGCAGAATCGAAATACAAAATCGAAGCATACAAAGAAAAGGAAAAAAGGAAACCGTAAGTAAACAGAGCATACAAACCATAATCGAACAGAGCATACAAACCGAGCGAATCGAACATAATAGCATCAAAATCGAGCAGCAAAATCGATCGAATCGAACATAATAGCATCAAAATCGAACATAATCGGAAGCAATATCAGCAACATAGGAGAAAAGTTACCTTAGGAGATGAGAAGATTGGATAAGAGCAGCAAAATCGGAAGCAATATCAGACCACAATCGCCTATTAGGGTTTTGGAGGAGGAGCAACCTGTCGAGAAAAGAGACCGTGAGTTTTACAAGGGTAGGTATGTCTTTTTTGTTGGCTTAAYGTGGACAAGTGCCTAGAATGGTCTGTGCGAATAAGCCCYTGTCTGGGCGAATAAGCTCCAAGTAAACAGCCTCAAATGGCTGTGCGAATAAGCCCGTTTATCCGGTAAGCTCATTAAGCCACAAGTAAACAGGCCCTAATATATATATATATATATATATATATATATATATATAAAGCATAATCATAATATGCTGACGTGGCACCTTCTCGACGTAGAGATCATATTTTCCTCTTTTTTCCACATTTTGATTTTTTTTTTCTTAATAATTTTGCAAATTAATGTTCACATTTAACTCAAAAACCCTTCCCTTCTCTTGGTATGTTTCAACTCTAACATTTAAATCATTCAATCCTTGGTTTTTTCTCTAAATCCCTCAATCTTTAGGTTTTTTTCATTAATGTGTTCTTCATATCCATGTACGAGTTATAAACTATAGGTACGTTCTCTCCTCTTCTTTTTCATCTATCATCTATGGCAGAAGAGTATACACAAGTTTATCAATATATGTAATAAGACACTGGAGTATGGATTAAAGAGAAGTCTAAGACATTGGAACATGGATTAAAGAGAAGTCTCCATTGAGGTTTTAGAATTTTGTGAGAATTTTGGTTATTTTTCCTTTTGTTATGGATTCACTTAATTTTTTATTTTTTTTATGTTTTCTTATAGTTTCTTAATTTGTAATTTTGTAAGAAAAAAACACCAACAATAAGATACATTTTTAGGCATCGCAATACTAATTTTTAGAAAAAACACAAACTTTGTTTTTTTTATTGATGTAATTATTATCAAAACATTAAATTAATTAGACTATTCATTTCCATTGCTTACACCTAATATTTGTTTTTTTGATTCGTTTATCTCATATGACCCTATTTGTTATTTACACAACAATAATTGAACACACACACATACATATGTATGTATGTATTCAATATATATAATCAAAATATCTATAAACTCATTTATGTAAATGAAATTACAATCAATATATGTGTATTTTTATTTACATACTTGAATATTATATAATATATGTGTGTGTATATNATCATGTGATATGGGTGTGATAATCACCGTTATACATCACTTGGGTTATCGTTTTGGTTGTTAAGTTAAATTTTTGGTGTAATCATGTGATATAGGTGTGATAATCATGTGAGATGGGTGTGATAATCACCGTTATACATCACTTGGGTTATCGTTTTGGTTGATAAGTTAAATTTTTTGTGTAATCATGTGAGATGGGTGTGATAATCACCGTTATACATCACTTGGGTTATCGTTTTGGTTGATAAGTTAAATTTTTATGACATCAATCATTATGTAAACTAAGTTTTTAGAATTCCTTTTTTAGCCATTCTAAGTTTACTTTGTTTTATATTTTGTAATGTTATTTATATGAACAAAGCGATGAGTAATGTAGTTGTTTTTTTGTGTCATTTGTGTGTGTTTAAGTTYGTTTGTTTATTTTCATTTTAACATCGATAATGGTCTCGTTCGTTTATTTACATTAGTGAATGACAATAACATGTAAAACCATTAATTAAACTAAGTTTGTAAAATTCTTTTTTTATCCATCATAAGTTTGTTCGGTTTTACATTTTGTTATGCTATGGTATATGAACGAAGCTATGGGTAGTTGATGATGGTTGTTTTTGTTCATTTGTGTTTGTTTAAGTTTACCCATTTAGCATTTTAAAGAACGAATATTTCATTTGCGATTAGTCTTAGTTTGATTATGGAGCTAATCCAATTAGACTTTATTAAGTTATATATAACTTCCCATATTTTGAAGACTATTTAACAAACACAACTTTAATGGTGAATGTTTTAGAGGATTTTGCATTCACTTGACACTTAATAGATTGGAATGATGTTTACAAGACATATTAAACAAAAAAATAAATCAATATTTGTACGTACGACTTAATTAATAATCATGACTTGAGGAAAAGTAAATCTCTCAAG